GGCGGGGCTGGTCCGGCCATACCGCCGTGCCCACCGTGACCGCCGCCACCAAAGCCGCCAGCCGAAGTGTGGCGCTGACGCCCGAATCCGAGGTCGCGGAGCGCAATCTCGTCAATCCCGTCGAACGAGAAGCGCTGCGCGAATCGCTTCAGCGGACTGTCGGCCGGGAACGCCTCGGCCCAGCGCTGCTCGAGCTTGTGCACCGCCACAAGGTCGCCGTACATGTACTCGTACCGCGCCCAGACATCCCAGAGGGGGCGGGCCTTATCAGCAGGGATCTTGAGTGCTGAGCGCTCAAAGAGGGCGCGCGCGTTCGTGTCGTCGTTGATGGCGAGGAGGAACTCGAGGTACTTGATCACGAAGGGGACGTCCTCGTCGAACTGCTTGAGGCCGAGCTCGAAGATACGCACGGCAACGGCGGAGTCCTTGTTGGAGTGGTACTCCATGAGCGCAGAGGCCTCGAAGGAGTGCCAGGTGACGTGGGGCGACTTGCGCGCCTTGCCGAACACGAGACGGGCGGCCTTGAGTCCCTCTGCGCGCCGCGCGAAGCGCATGTACATGACCCACACAATGCCGAGGGCGGCCTTGGCATCGTCAATGTCGCGCCCACGGCGCTCCTGGACCAGGCGGCCGCGCTCGTCTCGCTCGCGAACGAGACGCGCATAGTCGCTCTCCTCGTTGTTCAGCTCGTGCGCCGCGGCTGGGATCTCGGGACCACGCGCGATCTCAACCTCCTTCGAGACAGTGAGCTTGAGCTCGTCGATCTCAACATTCAGCCGCTCGATCAGGTTCGTGAAGATCGTGTGGCACTCGGCGTAGTTGCGCTGGTCCTCCTCCATCTCAGCCAGAGCAAAGGAGAGGAGGAAGCTCTTGGGGCACGCGGCGACACCGGCCTGCAGGAACGCCTTGCCTTCCTCCTCCTTGCCTGCCGAGAGGTAGTGTGCAGCAGAGAAGTGCCACAGCTCGGGGAAGTGTCGCATCTGCGCCATGGCTTTTCTGAAAGCGTACGCCAGGCGAATCGTAACAGTGGCGTCGTCGGCACCCAGCGGGTTGCCCTCCTCCCACTTCAGGTAGTTCTTCCACCCGGTGACGACGCGACGGTCCTCGTCCGTGAACTCGGGCTGCGGGGGGATGACGGGCTGCGGCAATGAGTCGGTCAGGTTGCGCATCTCACGCAGAGCGGTACGAGCAGTCATGTAAGCGGGCGAGCGGTCCGCGAGGAACTTCTTCGCAGCCATCTTGTTCTGTCCGCTTTCGAATGCATCGTACGCCTTCCACAGCGCCTCGACATTGTTCAGCGGCACAGTGACCGCACGCTGGTACAGCTTGCGCACGTTATCCGTATTCTGCTGCTGCTCCCAGGGGTTCTTCGACTTGAAATCGGTCAGGTACGAAATGTACTCCTGCCAGATCTCGCCCGACTCGCGGTCGACACCGCACTCCTTCAGCGCGTACTCGTATGCCTGAATCACTGTCGTCCGCGTCGCAGCTGGGTCGGGGCCATCACTCGGGTTCTGTCGTCGGATGTAGTGCAAGTACGCCTCTGTCAGGTCAGTAGATGATCAGCGTCCGTTACCCACTCCAGATATCAACATCAGCAGCAGCCATAAGGGTGAACGAGCTGCGGAGTGCGCGACCGAAGAGAGCCTCGACCTGCTCAAAGTTGTTCAAGGCGAGCTCGAGGTTGATAAGCGCAAGCAGCGGCTGAGACGCCGTCGGGTTCTCGACCGCGAGGGCGTTGTACCAAGCGCGGGCATCGGCGACCTCAGACTTCTGGATCGACCAGTTGAAGAGAGCGACAATATTGTTGGCCTCGGACGGTTCTGACGTTAGCTTAAAGATTGTAGAAGTGAAGCCTACCAAGTCGGTACTGGCGAACAATCTCCTGGTTCGCAATGACACTCGGCGAGTCAAATGTCAATCCCTCGGGCAGATCGGCCTTGTACACGTCCTCCTGGACGCCCTCGTTTTCCGGGATGGCGGAACGGGCTGCGAGCGATACGGGCGCAGTTGCCGGCGCAGGCGCAAGTCCGGTGTCCTTGTTGACCTGGGGAAGGCCTGGAACGACTCCGGGTTCCGGCTCGGGAACAGGCGCGGCTACGGGGCCACCCTCGGCTGGTGCCTCGGATGCGCTCTCGGGCTGCTCGGTGTTATCGGTCTCCATGGCGTGCGATGGGTCGTACTCCATCGGCTGCGAGGGGTCATAGTCACCCATCGGTTGCGAGGGATCGTATTCTCCAGTCGGCTGAGAAGGGTCGTACTCGTGCTCCTGCTGCTGGGACGGGTCGTACTCTTGCTGCTGCTCCTCGGCGGTACCCTCCTTGCCTTCCTCGGGCTGCGCAGAACCCTGGTCATCCTTCTTCTCCTCCTGCTGAGATGGCTCCTCGTGCTGTTGCTGCTGCGACGGATCGTACTCGGCCGGTTGCGAGGGATCATACTCAGCCGGCTGGGACGGGTCGTACTCGCCGTACTCCATTGGCTGCGACGGATCATACTCGGCCATGGGTGCACCAGAGTTAGTCTCGGCGGCCTCCGCTTGGGGTGGCGGGTCCTGGGGAACTGTGCTCTCCGACATCAGCCTGAAGCCTTATAGGCGCGAAGTTGCGAAGGAAGGGGAAGGGGAGGGGAGGGGAGATGAGAAGACAATAAATTATCGGCCTGCGCGCGATGGATTGTTTGTTCGAAGGTGAGAAAACCTTCGAGTCGTCCTCTCGAACGAGAAAGAAAACCAAGCAGAGAGAGAGACACTAAACAGGTCTCGATGTGTGCAGGTCGGTGGTGCTGGAGGAGTGCGACTGTGCTGCTGCTGCTGTGTGCTGCTGCCCGTCGAACTCTTAGTCCATCAGCCAGGTCGGGGTGGAGAGTTTAAGTGGACGAAGATTGGTTTGTTCATTGCGTCGCTGATTAGAGGCACGAGGAGCGCGTCATTTGCTTCCGCCACGTGTCTCAAGCATTCTTCGATCCTCCCCCTTACAGCCTTCTCAGTGCGGCTCACGTGAGCGGCGAATGTTTCCCTCACGGAAGGCATCGTACTCTCCGCAGATGCGTGGACCAGACCTGAAGGCGGGTTCCAGACCCCGGTGCACGGTTATTTTCGGCACGTACGGCGCACGCTTCGGTCACACTTCCGTCAGCTCCGAGTGCAAGATCGGCGCCCTCCCACCGTGGAAGAACCAAGGATAAACTTTTGGCTTCTGGCGAGATAAGGAAATACTCGATTTCAGGCTCGGTGTATTTTCCATCAGGCAAAAATATAACCTGGTGACACCCGGATATAATCAGCAGTTGAGCCACTGCTGCCTGATCCCCCTTGCTCACCGTAGAGAGAGACGTTCCGGCTCATGGGTCGAGAGCGTGAGAGCGTCCTTTCTCCGGCGACTCGGGGACGTTCCGACACCGATGTCGAGTCATTTATTCTCGTGATTTCTTATCCCTTTTCTCTTCTCTCACTCTTGTTACGACTCGCACGACTGCACGTATCGACAAGAAGCCCGTCTCGGGCTCTCGACAGCCACCACGCGACCCGTACTTCGACAGCCGGACCTGCCCTGATCGAACTCTTGCCAGCATTCTTGGCAGGGCACCTTGAATTCTTGCGGCAACTTCGACTCTTGTCTTATCGATTATCGATAGCGGCGACCTCTGCGCTCCGTTCTGGGCCAAAAATTGCATTGATCAGTGCATCAGAGCATCGTGTGACCTGCCAAAGCACCATTCTGCTCGTGCAGCTCGTCAAACCCGTCAAAGACCTAGACGAGCACCGAGCCTCAGGGTCTCACGTGGCCCTTGTGACGCTGGTAGGTTATTTGTCCGACGTTGCGTCGCACATGAGCATGGACTGACGGCATAGGACTTGAGGCTTCCCAGCTCGCTCGAGGTAGCGAGTGTAGGAGCAAAGTGATCACGCGCCCGGGTTGCGGACCGTGTTAACAGCGCAAAAGTTGCATTCTCGCATTTTAGAATATATAATCTTGCGCGCCACAGCGTCTGATTCGCATATCTACTGCGCAGCGCAGTCATCTCCAGTCGCCACCGACTCGCCTCCCTGTGCCTGATCGCGCCAGCGCGCCAGCCAAGCCAGTGTGGCTTCCGTCATCTGCCTGAGCGCTCCGCGAATTCCGCACGTTCGGAGCCCTACCCGGTCCTCGCCGTTACATCTCTGTGAGTTATGATCCACTGCCGCTCCCCTCCTCTCCTCTGCATCGCCCATTGCCCTTCACCTATCACCTACAAACGCCCGGCATGGCGCAAGTCCTTTATTCTGACGCCTTCAGCTTCCCGTCTCTAGTGTACGACATTATAGCAGGCGCCATGGGCGGAAGCACGTACCCGTGCCCTGCGGCGGACAAGGCGCTCGCGACGATCGGCGCGGTGCTGTGGAGCGTGCAGATCATCCCGCAGATCATCAAGAGCTACCGCACCAAGAACACGGACGGCCTCAGCCCGTACCTCATGTTGTGAGTGACAACTTTCGTGCTTCTCTGCATTGCGTCTGTGGCTTGGCGCAGCCTGCTGCTTGCATTGCATGGCTCATCGCACGCCGCACACGTTCGTGCTTCCTATCGCCACCATAGCTGCGACATCTGGCTGACGAGAACCAGCATCTGGGCCATCGCCTGTACCTTCCAAGGCGCGTACCTCGTATCTATGCGCTCCTCGATTCCGCTCCAGATCCAGCCGCAACTCTTCGGTTTCTTCGGGTGCATCTCCTGGGCCCAGTGTCTGTACTACGGCTCCAAGATCCCCTTGCGCAAGGTCCTGCTGTACCTGGGCGTGCTGTACGCGATCCTGGGCGGCTTCGAGGTCGGGTCCGTCTACGCTCTGTGGGCCGGGGAGCGCCACGGCGTCAACTGGCCGAAACAGATGTACGGGTGGATCACGTCTGCGCTCCTCGTCGCCGGTCTCATGCCCGAGTACTGGGAGATCTACAAGCACAAGGCCGTCGTCGGCATCAGCGTCATGTTCATGGTCGTCGACATTATGGGCGGCATCTTTTCCGGCGTCTCCCTCTTCTTCCGTGACGAACTCGACTATACCGCACTCGCGCAGTACATGCTCGTCGTCGTTTTTGACGGCATTGTCGTCCTGCTCGTGCCGATTCTGAACCCGCGGGCGAAGAAGAGGGCAGCAAGAGAGGCGGCCCTCAGGCAGGAGGAGGCCGCTGTTGGAGGGGACGTCGAGCCGGTCGAGGGCGAGGTCGCGATTGACGAGAGGACGCACGAACTCGTCGGCGCTCATGCCCACGAGCACCTCCACTTTCACCGCGGAGAGCTCGAGCGCGCCAGCGTTACCTACTCGTCAAATCTGACTGCCGTGGGGCAGGATGACAAAAGCCTCAAGGACACGGCCAGCCGCAACAGCGACGACACCGACTCGGCTCTGAAGCGATAACCACGATCAGGACGACATCATTTTGGGATTTCAACATCATCATAATATTATAATCTTCCTTCATCTTATTACATACATCATACTAGCATAGGGCTTAGAATGCATTGCATCGCATCTTGCTTTTCTAGAGCTTCGAGTTGCCCGGAGACAGCTCGACGACCTCGTCGAACCCGGGATAGTCTGGAATGTTGAGGTCGTACTTCTTGTCAAGCGAGCTGCGTGTCAGTTAAGCCGAAGTTGACGCCAACTCACTCCGACACAAAGCGGCCGCCGAGCCAGTGCTTCCCCTTGAACTCCTTCGCGCCCTCCTTCGGCACAGTAAGGGACACGAGCACCTCGGGGTCGATTGTCTTGACGGGGCGCGACTTGCCCTGGTCGTCTGGCTGCGTGAAGAGCTCCTGGCGCCCCTTCTCCACGTTCCAGCCCGAGGGCATGTCGACACTGACGATCGGGGTCTTGCTCTCGGCCAGCGCGTCCAGAATCCTATCGAACGGCGCGCGCACGGGCGGCTCAAAGGAGAAGCCAAAGATCGCATCCATGACCACGTCGTTTGCCTTGAGGGCGGAGTGGAACTCGTCTAGCGTCGACAGCACCGGAATGTCCAGGTTCGTGCACTGCTTCAGAAGCCGTTGGTAGATCTCCTTCTTGCCCGGCTTTGGGTAATACAGCGTCGGCGTGTAGTGGAAGTGGTGCAGATGCCGGGCTGCAACGAGGCCATCACCGCCCTGGGGTCAGCTGTTTCGTCTGCGGCGTAGCATCATGTGCGAAGGAAGGGTCCGAAAGGAGGTGCAAGCGAAGCAGTCGAAAGCAGGACTCACCTGGTTTCCCGGTCCACAGCAGACGAGGACCTTCTTGTGCGTCTTGGGCGGGTAGCTCTTCCCCAGCGCCTGGGCGCACGACAGACCCGCTAGTTCCATGAGCTGTAGCGTTAGCTTACCTCGGTCTGTAGAACAGCTACTCTCAGCACGCACCTGGTCGAGGCTGAAGGCGCCCGCCGAGCTCATGAGCTCCTCGTCGATCTGCTGCGCAAGCTTCTGGCCGATATACCGGATAGACATGGCTTTTAGTTGGAGATTGAGTGAATGAACGAGCGAGGGAAGACCATTGAGACTTCGTCTCTCGTCTGGGCTTGGTGCTTGGTGGCGGCGTCGACATTGCGCTCGGAGGCTTCCACAGCCTGATGTCATAGATTACGAGGTGGCGGCACGTGATGCGGTCTGAGCCGATATCGTCCTCTAAAGTCGCCAGTGTCATCAGTGTGGGAAACTGTGTTTCAAAGCATATCAATACACAATGCATGGCTTGCTGTCAAGATGATGATGGTAAAGTTACACGGCTAGAATGAAATAGATGAAGAAATGGGATGGAGTGTGGGGGTGGTCTAGATGTAGTTTTGCACGCTCTCGAGTGTGTGTCTTCTGATGTGAAGTCTAGATTGATGATGGATGTAGTTGATACACGCGTCGTCGCCTGTGCTGCTTCCCACTCGACTACTCGCTCTCACTCGCTCTTAAGCCCAGTTGGCAAGGAGGGCCATGAGACCCGCTCCAAGACACATGCAGATGAAGACGTACGCGAGCTTCGAGTTCGAGCTCTTCATCATACGAGGGTTGAGGAGGATCTCGTGGGCGAGGAGCTCGACGAGACCAGTGTAGAGCAGGATACCGGCCGAGATGGCGTCGAGGATACCGGAAACGATGAGGTTGGCGGTGCCATTTCCGTTGTAAGACTTGCGGACACCGAGGCCAGCAGCCATGCCGACGGGCGTGCAGATGCAGTACAGGAGCGCGGCGGCGTAGCGCACCCACCAGAGGTGCTTGGGCAGCTCGAGCGAGGCGAGACGGGCGCCGAGACCGAGTCCCTCGAACATCTGGTGGAAGATGATGACAATGAAGAGAACGATGAACTCGTCGCTCGTTGCGAGGGTGAGACCGATGATGATGGAGTGCAGCACGACGCCAAACTCGAGAATCGCCACACCGACAATCTGAGCAGCGGTCTCGGCATCGCTAGGGCCGAGGGTGAGGGCCGAGTCCGAGTCGCCGCTCTCGAGGTCGACCTTCTTGCGCAGCTTGCCGCCGTCGAGCGACTCGCCGTAGATCTCCGCCTCGGTCGGTCCGTCAGGCATAGGGCCGTGGTGGCCGAGGCCGTGTCCGTTGATATTGGGGTGGTGCTCGTGCGCAATCTCGTGCTCGAGCGCGTGCGAGTGGAGGTTGGCGGGGTTCGACTGGCCGGCAACGACAGAGGGCGCGCGGTGGTCGTGAGCGTGCGCGTCCGTCTCGTCGTGGACGTGCGACGAGTAGTTGACGCCGATCTGTTCCAGCTTCTGCGTGCCGATGCGGTACGCGGCGACCTCGGCGAAGAACATGAGCATGCACGAGATGAGCGCGAAAGCGGGCGCCCAGTCGTAGTTGTTCCAAGTGCCCGAGAGACACTCCGAGCCGAGCTCATCGAAGGCAGGCGCGAGCAGGTGCATGAACGCCGTAGCGATAATGACACCGGAACCGAAATACTTGACGAACCTGTATCGTTAGCGCGGTGCTACGGAATGAAGAGTTGCGTGACCGAGGTGCGGTGGTGCCACACCCGCAGTGCAGTGGCAGTCTGATACTCACTCGAAGAAAGCACGGGGAACAACACGCGATGACCGCAGCAGGATCGGCGCAAGGGTGCCGAGCAGACTGGTCGCGAGGATGATGAAGATGCCTCCGATGCGGAGGCCCCAGTGCGAGTCGTCATAGGAGGCAGCGCAGGCGTCTTCCTCCTCACCGCCTGCAGCCTCAGCGGCCTCCTCCTCGGCGCGTTTGAGGATCGGGATGATGACATGAGTGGCCGCGGCGGCAGCGACCTGGGTGGCCGTGGTCGCAACAGATGCGAGTGTCGGGGCCATGGTGGGCAGTGGTGGTGGTTGGGTTGGAGAAGGGAAAGATGAGAGAGGGCGATAGAAAAGGTCGACGATCGGCACTGTTCAAATCAATAGAGCAGGACAGACCCAAAGGCTTCAAGTGACGAGAGCTTGTCGTAACTTGTCGGAGGTTGAGAAGAATGTCAAGACGGACTGCGGGACGAGACTGGCAGATATATACTCTTGAGGGCGTCGGCGTGAAACTCTTCAAAGCAGCAAAGCGGCGCAGTTGTCAGAGCGGGGAACGCGGCGCAGAGCTAGCAGAGCGAGGAATGGAGACGACGCGGTTGGCTATCGTGCTCGCTGTCCGAAGAGATTGCGAGATTGCGAGCGCGATGAGGACTTGGCGGTCGGGCCAGCGTCGATACTGGGTGTGTTGAGGGCGATCCGGTCGCTTTCGTGTGCTATTTTCGTCGTTTGTGCTCGATGCCGAGCAAAGGGAGACAGCCTTAGTGTGTGATGGTGGAGAGTACGTTGACAGATGAGCGAGGTTTGCCTTGCTTCATTGCAGACTTGCGGACTGCCAGACCTTGGCGGAGCGGAGCAGCGCGGGCAGCGGACGACCCAGGATTGCAGGATCAGACCCAGGGCAGGGCCCAGCGGTGACCTCCAAGTCCTCAATCCGATGTCGCTGATCATGAAAATCAGCCCGGCGGCGCACCGCACGAGACCGCACACTGCGCGCACGACTTCAGGCACGCACACTAAGCAAGATTCGAGGTGAGGACCCGACCGGTCGACCCATATCGCCCAATCACATGCCGCGATTTCCGCCCAACAGTCCTCTCGCTTGCCTCTTACGTACGAGTGCATGCGGCTGCGTGCGGCTTCGCGCGGTCTGAAGGACTGGGGTACTGGGATGCGCGCGCGTAAAGGTGCACAAGGTGAACTGATGACTGAAAGGGGCTATTTTCGTGCGCGCTGAGAGCAAACTTCATCTGCGCTAGTGCAGCACAATCCGTCTGATACGCGGTAGCGATACGGCTAATGGCAAGAGATAATGGGGTCCTTACCTTGGTCCGCAGGCCGTTAGGCCGTTAGGCCGGTCGGCAGCACTCCGCCCGAACCCCTACAGACATTCCCAAAACAAGGAGCACGAGCTTGATTGCTGCCACGATTAAACTGGTTTGACTATGGTCCCATTTCGGTCCGCAGTTGCTCTTCATCCCAGATTGGCTGCACTGTTTGCTAATATTGGAGTTGGTCTGAGCTCCACGAGATCTGGCACAGCAGACGAGGCATAAGTAGCGATGATACTCGGCGCCCATGTTGTTGCCTCCTGTGTGGCTCTCAAGGTACGGCGGTGGCATTCCCAATCCGCAACATGCTAGTCCAGAGGCACTACCTTTTGCAATGCCTGCAACCTCGGTGGTTGAAACGGATTGCTAAGCAGATAGGGTTAAGAGATACCGTTCAGCCTATGAAGCGGCCCCGGCCTAACTGGCATCAAGGCGAATGTGGAAGAGAACTGCAACGTACTCTACCGCTTATAAGCCAGTGCCACTCCGCACTTCTCCATGCTCCGGCAGTATCATAAGTCGGCATAAGTCCACAGCGTCCATAATGTCAACAGCCAAGAAATCTGAGTCCTATCTTTAGTCAGAACCAGGGGAGGCAACTCGACCCCCGCAATCCCAGAAACCTCGTTTGCTCCGTTCGAGTTAAAGTGTGACTGAGGACCTCACCGGTGAGGGCGATCTGCAGCCGCAGTCCTCTCGACCTATCGGACCAGAATGGATCAGGAGAGATCTCGTCGCTCGTTGCTGCAGGCGTGCATGCATCGCCTCCAGGAGCTCGCACGCCCAATGATGAGACCTACTTTGCAAACACGGAGGATCGCCCACGCTCGCGTACCGACTGCTCGGCTGATACGGCTGTTGATGTAAGACTCCCAGCTCGTCCGACCGACAACATTGTTCTGTAGGCGATAGCCGGTCGATCGGGCCATCCCCCAATCCTTTCGCCACTTCAATTATCGCAGGACAGCAGAGATCGGGGAGATGACCTCAAAGAGTGGAAAACGAATGAAGAAGGGCGCTGGAAAGCGAGGTACAGTGCGATGGCGCCTTTGCTTTGATACGAAGTTACATGGCACTAGGATCCTCGTGTGTGTGCGGAGGGGTCCGGACAGATTTTTCTCTATGGTCGCGGGTTGCGGGGCTACGGAGACGGAGACGGCTATGACAGGAAAGGGGGGCAGAGAGGTCGTGTCGGAGGTGACGGAAGAAGAAAGGGGGGCGAGGAACAAGAATAAGACAAAAAGTAGTAGATAGTCCGTTCTCCATGTCGCGCAAATTATCCAGTTAACGATACGATACATTCAAGAGATCCTTGATAAATAAACCACGAGACACGGCACCGACAGGAGGAGGAGGGTTTTTTACTTGTGGAGCCGTTCCTCCAGCGCGCGCACACGTTCCCGCAGCTCGTCAACCTCGCGGCGCTCGGCGCGCTCGACCTCGTACCGAACCATCTCCTTGAGCGAGTCGGCCGACTGCTGCAGCGTGCCGAGCAGGTTGCTGGCCTGCGCCGCTGTCGACTTGAACTCGTTCGTCGCCGCCATCTGGCTCGCGTACGCCTGATCTGACCGGTGGATCATGTCCTGCAGCTGGTAGCGCAGCTGGTCGACCGATGACAGCATGTCGTAAAGCTGCACGAAGGGCTGAAGGAACTGCTCGCGCGGGTGGGGCGGCGACGGGCTCAGCGAGTAGCCGTTCGATCGGTGCACACCGTTAGTAGGACGGGCAGATCCTGGCGGCTGCGACGGAGGCGGGCCGTGGGGAGACAAGGGAGGGAAGCGCGCGTGGTGAGCGCTCGTCGGGTGGCCCTGGATCGAGGGGACGGAGAAGTTGCGGCGGTCAGCGGTGTTAGGCTGCGCGCTGCGTCCAAGGTGGTCGGGGTATCGGGCATCACGAGAGCGGGTCGAGGGGTTCGCCGACGGCGGTCCCGAGGGCCGTTGCGCCTGCTGGGCGGCCTGGTAGTACTGGTGCTCGCCGCGGCCAAACTCGTCTGGGCGGGCGGAGCGGGAGTGGGCACTGAGAGGAGCGGTCCTCGGGTCGGCGAGGTGGTGGGGGTGGTGACCGTAGTGGTGGTGGAGTGGAGGAAGGTGGTGGGGGTGGACGGCAGTCTGCGATCCGGAGGGCGGCTCACGGGGCGACTGCTGCTGCGAGGCGAGACCTTGGTTGAGGGGAGCACTCTTAGAGCCAGGAACAACGTCCTTATCGGTCGCCGTCGTCACAATGCTCATGCGCTCAACCTTGTCCCGCGTCTTCTCGCGACGGGCACCGACACCACGCTTCTCCGGGTCCTTCGGCGTCCAGCCCTTGAACGTGAGCTCACGCGGGGTCGTCGGCTGGCTGGCAGCCATTTCTTTCCGTCGCTGCGCGATCAGGGCCTGTTGCTGCTCCTTGATGCTGATCGTGTCTCGCACGGTCTTCATTTGCTCTTCGTCGACGCTCTTAAAGTCGAAGCCCAAGACAACTGGGGATGGGATGGCTCGGTTGACGTCATTGTCGCCGTCGCGCCTGGCCTCTCGGGATGCGGCGAATCCGATGGGCTGGATCGGGGCCAGGGTGCTGGGGCGCTTGCTGTTGGAAGGCGGCTGCTGTTCCGTCGTGGGCGAGCGCCCAGGGGCGCTGTTCTTCGAAGGGGACTCGACCGCCGAACGGGGCCCGTGGCGAGCATTCGTTCGGCTGCGTTTCTCCGGTCTAACAGCGTCGTCCTCAGCACTGCATGTATAAGCGGGCAAGAGTAGCGAGAAGATAGATGGATCGTCGATCGCCAAAACAGGGGCACAAGTGTCAGCTCATGGAAATCAAGAAGTCAGGGGTGGAAAATTGATGGCCGAAACACAGAATGCCTATTGTGGGTCGCAACAGAGCGTCCGGTAATGCGCTTGAGGTGGGGACTTACGCTTCTTCGCGGTCACGAGCCTTGCCCTTGCGACGGTCTTCGCGGTCCTCAGCCGAGCGGGGACCACCACTGGCCGAGGGAGAACGGCTGTGCCCCGGGGGCGTAGCGTTGGGAGGGGGGTCACGGAGGGAGGAAGTGCTGAAGGACGTGGATGTGGGGCCCGAGTTGAGTTTTGGAGGAAAGTACCGCCGTGGCGAGAGCCCAAGAGGTGGGGAATATCGCAGAGGGGGAGAGGGAGCATCGGTCGAGCGGTGTGGGGCGACGGGTGCAGGGCAGGGCGATTCGGACGGCGACAACGATTTGTCCATTGTGCGGAGGCGAGGGAGGATGAGATATGAGAAAGATCAGAAGAAGCGAGTTGACGGTTGGTGGAAGGTGACAGCGATTGTGCGGTTGGGGTTCGTGCGGTTACATAACGGGTGCGGTATTGGGCGATGTGGAACACGGCGTCAGCATGGTCTTCTCCTTTGGTATGACTCGTCACTGGACATTGGCGCTCTGGGCTTCTGGCACGGTCCGAGGAGGGCAAGAAGCATGGGGGGTGACACAGACATCTGGGACCAGCGTCTTGTCGACTGTGACCCGCCTGGCTCGCCTCTGGCTGGAGCTTGGCTTGCGGCTGCAGGTCTGTGATGACGGGCCCCTGGCCCAAACCTGAGCCTCAAGCCTCGATCAGACATGAGACATGAGACACATCGGCGCACACACGTAGCCCTCGCCATGCCCACTGCAGCCACACACCTGCGCACATCGCTCTCCGCACTTCGGAGAAGCCGTTCAACAACTCCAACAGATGTGTAGCTGTTCCAGTGTCGCATATCGCGTGTCGTGTGCCGTTTCTGATTTCTGGGGCCCAACTGCCTCATGGTCTCGCCACGAGGACGAGGTGCGTCCCAGAAACCAATGTCACAAGCTCAAAAGGCACCGGACTCTGTTCCTTCCTTCCTGTTCTCTCGTCGGGCCTAGGAGACAAGTCGCGGGCCCGCACAACGCGGGCACATCGCGTGTCGACCTGTCCCCGAACACGGCAGAATCCATCGCCCGACGTCCAGCACGTCTGATGAACTCACGGATGCATGGCTGAACCAAATTCGAAGCGGTTGCGGACGGGAGAGATTGCTGTCATAAATGAAACTGGTGCAAGCTGAGCGCTCAGACGTTCAACCTTTTCTCTGTCCCCCACACGTAATCAAGGTTCGGGTTTAGTTCAGAGCTGGCGTGAAGCAGACGCAGAATCGTGTGCAGGAGGTGATGTATCGCTGCGCCTTGGTTCACAAGGATTGCTTGCACGCGTCCTCAAGCCGTGGCAGTTAGGGCTGGATGCGAACAGGCTTGTCGAAGGTTGCGTCGGCAATGCAAACACGCTACTCGTCCTTGACAGAGGAGGTGTCAGGATCTCTAGTAAGGGCGAAGGGACAACGCGAGTCTGTGCGTTGATGTGAACCAGATGGACCAGAAGTTTGCGAGTGTGAGCGTGACTGGAATGAGGCGAGGAGATTCGGGGTGGAGGAGATGGCGATGTACTGCGGATGTGGATGCGATGGGGGGCGGATTGATGCACGGATGACACGATCAGCCACGTTTGTGTGTATGTGTGTTGATGTGTGTGTGTGTGTGTTGGATGTCAGACTGAGGACGTAGATTGAGGGGAGGAATGGGTCTTGAGACTGGGTCGGTGGGTGAGACTAAGGGCGAGAGGAAGGGTCAAGGGGCGACACAAAGCACGAAGAGTGACGCGGTGTGCGGCGAGGAGAAGGAGAAGGGCGGCGAGGGGAAGCCGGAGGAAAGAGTTGGAGATGTGGATGGAGGAGAGATGTGTGTGTGTGTGGGTCGCCGTGTGGAAGCGAAGTGGTGGTAGGTAGGTAGGTAGGTAGGTGGTGGTGGATGGTGGGAGAGAGGGAGGTGGGTATGACAGGCAGGATGAATCTGGTGCATCTGGAGTGATTGCCCCTGGTGTTCCCGCCTGACAAAGATAGCCAGTCGACCCACACCCCCGCCAGTCAACAATGCGAGCAGCCAGTCACAAGTCGACGGCGAGACCGCCCCGCGACGGGCCAAGTTCGCGCGATGGGGTCTGACGCACAGGCATCCCGCCCGAGGCTCATCGCCAGTCCAGTCAGCCCAGCATCCAGCGCTGGCCGACTGGCCGACTGGCCGACTAGCCGCTAGTGACCGACCACGAGTACTTAGAGTGCTCTCGCCGTCCCTTCTTCGCCCTGGGACACCCTGAATCCCTGTCCCTGACTCACTCCTGACCAGGCCAATCTGCCAGTGTGCCAGCGAGGCTCGCACGTCCACCACACACCCAAAGTACCCAAACCAGCTTAACGTGTTAAGCATTCGACCAAGACTCCAGTACAATCAGAACCGCACACCACCAGAGCCTACCAGCCCAGACCCCAGGGTCCGCGATTCACTCGACCCCTGTCCTTCCCCTTCCTCTGTCCCTTACTCTCCTGAGCCCTCCAGTCACGACCCACAGTCCCGTTCAATCTGCATGTTAGGCAGGCATGCCGCCTGAGGCGCGCATCTTTGGCGTGAAACTTGGCCCCCTTGCCCCCCCTCCGTTAGCCAGAGAGCCAGCGAACATCATCCTCACCCTCACCCCCTGCCGTCCTTTCCTAATTTTATTTTCGTGCGCGTATTGCGTCGTCGTCGGCTGGCGATCTGCGAGATTTCACGATAACAATCTCCGAAATGGCCAAGCGAGATCATACACTACTGCAACCCGACTGAATGAATCCTTCTCCAATGTCCCATTGAACCCAATGTTGTGCTGCCAAATGGCACCGCTGCCTGCTCCAGTCGCCGGACAGACAGATGACGACTTGGCCGTGGCGTCAGCCGATCAGGTTATCGCCTGGATATCAATGCAGCCAGCTGAGTCTGTTTGCAGCTCGCTCCTGACGATCCTGGACGGGCAATTCGGTCCCACCAGCCATGTCCCCAGCCATGTCCCCCAGCCATGCCAGCCAGCGCAGTAGAGAGAAGTTTAAGGCAGCAGGGGAAGCAAGCCATGATTTCAGTGCGCTCAGCGTACTCCGTGTTTGGCACCAACACAAAACGAGGGCGCAGCCGAAGACGAGCGAAAGGGCGCTGACGGCGCACGGCGCAGAAACGAGGCGCCCTGCGCGCCTGCGTGGGTGCCAGTGATCCAGTGAGATGCTCAGCGCTCGCTCCGCCGGCTGCAGCATCAGCGGCTGAACTCTGTCCGACGCCTGGCCCTGTGTTTCCTATCAGAGCAGATCACGGTGCTGCGGGCGGCTTACTGACGGCTTGCTGGCAGTTCGGGCGGCTTGCTTTGCTAAGAATCGCCCGCATGCCGCATAGCCCGAATGCCGTCGGCACTCGACGCACTCCAAACCCGCCACGAGGGCTTGCTTGCTATTCATGTCCTTTTCACCCAGCCTGACGCAGTGGTTGCAGTGACCTGACGTCTGACGTCTGACGTCTGACGTCGCCCGACCAAAGCTGGTCCCCATTTAGTCATTTCCCTCATCTGTTCCAATCATGCGAAACCTTCTTATACTGGGATCTAGTTCGCTTCGGCGGATGTCGTGCTGGTCGCTTTGGTCGCTTTGGTCTGGCTGTGCTAGCTGTGCTGAGGGTCGTCTGAGGGGTCTGCCAAGTGGCGCCGTATCGAAACCCATTCATGAAATCTGCCGGCTCGGTTGTGCGGCTGTGGACTGGCTGACATGTTTGCATGTGACGATAGTCAACATCTCACCACAACAAGCAGCCGTCCACTGCCTGCATGGATCATGCAGCCGCGGTGCACCCCACTTCGTACCCCGTGCGGCAATGGTCCACTGTCCGCTCTCTCCGCTTTCTCCGCTTTCTCGGAGCACGACATGATCCCAGTGACGTTAGCGAGAGCTCTTCTTTAGCGACTGAATGCGCGACTGACACAGGTCGCGAATTGCCTCATCTGCCGTCTCTCACGGTACATGTTCTGCCTCGTCATGTGCCCTCAGGGCGTGCCTTCTAGGCTATGCTCCAAGCGCAGCAACTACTTTCTGTATGTAGCTCAGCGTTCTTTCTATTCACCGATCCACTTTCACCTTCAGTCAGACAATTCGACGAAGGAGAGTCGAAAGACGTAATAGCCTACCCAGGCGTACGTAATACAGCTGCCCGAGAGAGTCAATAACCACTGCATTATCGGTGCCGCATTGCGGCAGCGGTGCCGACTTCGTACACACAAATGCGCCGAAATGGTACTAAAACTAATGCAGCTAGCACAGAAGGGCAATCCGCTGGGCCCGCCGGGCTTGGGTCGGACATGGAACAGCGCCTCGCGCGCCTCGTTGCTTGTTCGGCACCCAGCTGAACATCTCATGGCGATCGAATATCGTCTGTTCTGTCTGAGCCCACGCGAGTTGCGTGCGGGCCACGCGACTTATCGGGATGCACGACTGCGTGCGACGCCTGCACCGTTCCAGTGCAATGCAGCGGTGCGTTCCTGACCCGCTGCGATGCATCCCGGCATTCTTCTAGCTGCGGATCGCCATCTTGCAGAAATATGACAGGGTCGTAGGGACCAGAGGGGACGAGAGGGACCAGAAGGGACCGGATACGGGATCTCATCCGTACGGCAGCGGTCCGCTCCTCGCTCCTGTGCTCGTCGGATTGGCAGACCTGGGCAGTAGTTTCAAACACTTTCCGTTGCCGCCTGCGCCATCATTGACTTGTGTGCCGGTTCCGGGCCTTCCGGGGCTCGTAATGAATCGTTTGGCATCCCGTAGTGCTCGTAGCCCCGCACAGCGTCGTCCCATCCCAAGTGATGAGGCAAAGGGAATGGGCATGCAGTGCACGTCCTGATGCGAGCCGGTGGCATCTCCGGGGCAAACCCGGCCCAAAGAGCTCGATCAGGCCACGATCATGATGCAGATTAAGGGACGAGCGCGATCGCGCTCTCACCATCGAGGTCATGACGACATGCTCACGCATGGTCCGTGCTGACTATCTCTGCGAAAGGGAGTGTACATAGCGTTTGATTATAGAATTCCCAGAACTGGTCGAAAGTACGTACGTACATGTTAGTCTATGTCTATATGTATAGGACGGTCACCTGAGCGAGCATGTCACCGAGGTGACTGAAGGAGTGTCTATACCGGGCTGGCGTCCTTGTGCTGGCGGCCATCTCCGACAACCTCCTGGACCTGCTTCTCCTCCTCACCGAGGGCCTTCTCCGCGTCGCCTGGTGTCTTCTCGGCGTCAGGCTTGGGAGCGTCGGCTTTCGGCGCCTCCGGCTTTCCCTTGCCTGGTCTCGGGGGCAGCTTGTGATCCGGGATCAGGAGCGCGAACCCGAAGCAGATGACGGCAAAGGGCACGCCGATGAGGAACACGTCGCGCATCGTCTGGGCGTAGGCGATGAGCGCGCCCTCTCTCTGGCTGTCGGGGACGGCCGTCCAGAGCGCCGCACTATCGAGGATAATCCGGTGCTTGAGCTCGGGACTCAGGCCGGGCGCATACTTGACGACATTCCGTTTGAGGACGTTTCCAAACACGCTCTGCGCGAGCGAGATGCCGACGATACGGCCCGCGAAGCCGACGAAAGTGCCGATACCCATGCCCGCGGGGATGAGCTTGGGCTCGGAGCGCAGTTCGCACTGGATCGACAGCGAGGCGTTCTGCATCGCGCACCCCGTGCCGGCGCCAATGAGGACTTGCAGGCCGTAGAGGGTCGCAAGTGGCGAGCCGTACTTGAACCCATACAAACCGCCACTTCCTGCCGCGAGCAGCACGGGGCCGGCGACGATGAAGAACTTGAACCGGCCAATGCGGGGCACGACCCGCGATGTGATGATGAGGACGAGGACTTGCGATAAGATCAGGGGCAGGAGGCGCACGCCCGCCTCAGTAGCCGTGAAGCCGTACACGCTCTGGAGCCAGACCGAGGCGTAGAACACGGCAATCATGTACACTGCAAAGAGCGTGAAGAGCACGCCGCACGCGGCATACACTGTCCGGCGCTTGAAGAGGCGGAGCTTGAACATGGCGCGTTTCTCGCCCAGGAACTTCTCCCACGCGAAGAAGGCGACAGGGAGCACGCCCATCAGCACGAGTGAGACGATGACGCCTGCGTCGGACCAGGAGCGAGAGATACCGCCCCACTCGAGTGCGTCGATGAGGCACACCGCCCAGGCTGCAGCCAGGATGGCGCCGACCCAGTCGCACCGTGCCACACGGCCCAGCATAGCTAGCTCATAGCCCTTGTACTCGGCCTTGCGGCCTATGGGTGGGAAGGCGGGCTGGAAGATGACGATAGCGGCGAGGGCGAGACCGCCGATGGGCAGGTTGATGTAGAAGCACCAGCGCCACGAGGCGTGGTCCGCGAACGCGCCTCCGATGAGCGGGCCGATCACACTCGCGACGGCGAACACGGCACCGGAAAAGGCAAAGTACTTTGCCCTCTCGCGGAGCGGCACCAGTTCGGCAATGATGACCATGCCGCTGCTCATGATGCCCGCTGCTCCCGCGCCAGCGAGCGCCCTTCCGAAGATTAGCACGGGCATGTTGGGCGCCACACCGCAGACCAAGCTCCCGAGCTCGAAGACCAGCACGGCCGAGAACATGACGTGCTTCGAGGGAAAGATCTCCAGGAACTGGGAGTAGATCAGGTTCAAAGCCAGGAGGGGCAGGAAGAATCCGGCCGCGAGCCACGAGAGCTGGTCCAGTGCTCTGAACTCTGAGGCAATGGCGGGAATGGCGGTGGCGATGATGAGCTGGTCGAGGGCGAAGAGGAAGATCGAGACCAGGATCGAGCCGAAGATCGCCCAGAACCGCCATCTTGACATCTGTGGAATCTCCTGTCCGCCGGGAGGGCCATTTGGGCCGCCTGGGCCTGGCGGGCCGGAGGTAGCTGGCGGCGCCGTTGTGTCGGCGGAAGGAAGAGGAGCGGATTTGGTGTCGCTGTGTTGAGAAGCGAGAGACTTGGAGTCGCTTGCCCGAGAAGCGGTTCGAGACAGCGTGAGCTCGAGCGCTGGCGCGGGTGGGAGCGGGCCCTCCCTCTCGGCAGTAGACAAAACGGACATCGCTACCGGTCGTCCAAGTCGGAGTGAGAGTGGTAGTGTAAACGCAAACGCAAAGTCAGCTGTCGGGCAGTCACCTGCATCGCTGTGGTATGTATATGAGCCATGGCAAGAAAGCTAGTGCTTGCCCGCGTTCGCAAAAACAAGCATTCTGAACATGTGCACGACCCGCGCGCGGAGGGCGACCTGGGGCTGACCTGAGGGCTGCCGGCTGGGTTTCGCGTTCTTCGGCCGGGCGATTGGCCCCGGATCCGAAATAACCTGGATATCTGATTAGAATCTGAGACTCCTTTCAGACGGACACTTGCACAAACTGTTCATCTCAACGGACACTCTGTCTTCTTGCCGAGTGTACGCCCAAGCGTCTGGCCAGTCTCAAAATAGCCTCCAATGTCTCAAACATGCACGCAGACACTTGCGAAGTGTGGCTCCTTTCGGCAGGATGGAGACGATAAGAGGTACAGATCAAAGGGTTCCGGCATCGGACGGTGCTGCCCGAAATCACAGGGTCAAGGTTTTCCTAGCGGCTTGGCAATGCACGCGATGTACGCAGCGGAGCAATATTCCATACTCCCACCATGCAACGCGAATAATGACGCCGGCACATAAAAGCAGCAAGATACATGTCCAAGAAAAGAAGCTAGCCCACGTAGAAGTGTCCGTTGGAACGGTCTGAGCCGCGGTAGACACCTCCTATACTGTCCGTCAACTGTCCGCTGGCCGGCGGGCTCGGCAGAGGATGACGAACGGCCCCGGCATGCCGAACGGGAGCCTCGCCGTTGTCGAGATGCGCGGCACCGGCAGCCGTCGGTCGTGATGATCGCGGGTCGATCCATGCGAATGCGAGAACCGTGCCGGGACAGAGACAGGGCGAACAGCGAAACCGCCCAACACCATGAACCAGCAGGCGACATGACGGCGAGCCCAGCCTACGCGTCCGCCTTCCAAATCCACCGCCCGCCATACCGCTTCCCCCCTCCCTTCTCCTCCGGCCAGTCCGTGACTGTGTCCCCGACGCGCTCAAACCCAGTCGCGAGAAGGACGCCAATACTGCCCGGGTTGTCGTTCTCGACTATAGCCTCGATGGCCTTGACGCCCATCCACTCCTTGGCCCACGCGAGCACGGCGCCAACAGCAGCGATCATGAGTCCCCTCCCCGTCGCACTTTCGGCGAGCACGTAGCCGAGATGCCACATGTCGGCCGTGTATGTGTCGGGATCGGCGTCCGAGGGCGTGAGCCCGATATCGCCCACGATGTTGCCCGAGGCGTCACGGATGCTCTTGAAGGGCATCCCGCTCAGCGCACGCGTGCCGGGGGCCTTGTGCAGACCTTCGCCCTGTGTGACGCCGCCGCCCAGGCCACCGTCCTCGGAGAGCGGTTCCGGCGCCGAAGGCAGGGACTCGACAAGCTCGGCTAGGTAGCCCTCTTGCTTTTGAATCTCGTCCTGCACCCAGTCCTCGGCCCAGGAGACCGACATGGGCCACGGGAGGCGATACAGGCGCCGACCAATTTCGGGCGAGTTGAACAGCGCCGCTATGTCCGATGCTATGCCCGGGCGGAAGGGCACAATGCGGTCGCCTGTCGGCAGGAGCAGGTACGGTTCCCGCCGGTCGTGGTCCCAGCGCAGCGCCTCTGTGAGCGAGCGCTTGTACTCTGGTGAGGAACGGTCGAGCTTCGTCGAGGTCGAGGCGGACATGGCGCTCTGTGTTCTCGTTGGCGATGAACTCGAGGGAGACTTGATGCTGAAGAGATGAGGGCAAGTCTCGTCAGTGGGTGCGTTCGACTCGACAGCTTGTTTTCGGCATCGCTCCGGACCTTGCGTCATTGCGGACACCGCGGCAATCTCCACCGATAACCGCCCGGTGACTAACCCAATACCGTCGACATTTATGCATTCTGCTTTCCTTCTGATACTCCCTACAATCTCTATGATTAGAAGTTGATACCGAGGCGAGGACGGTTGACTCCGAGCTCGCGGTTGAGGTTGTACGCGGCCGAGATGAGGGTGACGTGCGAGAAGGCCTGGGGCGTGTTGCCGAGGCCCTCGCCGCCGGGCGAGATCTCCTCCGAGAACAGGCCGACGTGGTTGCCATACCCGAGGAACTCGATGAACATGGTCTGCGCAATGTTGAGGTACTTCTTCTCGTACCTGCCCGCGCGGGTGAGCGCCTCGACGCCCCAGAGGGTACACAGCGAGAAGGCGCCCTCCTTGCCGCCGACACCGTCGTCGGTCTTGCCCGTGTCGTAGCGCCAGATACTCGCGTTGGCCGTGAGACCGCCCTGGTCCAGTGGCTTGAGGATCTGGTCGAGCGTGCCCCGGAACCTGGGGTCGGCACCGTTCGAGAAGAACACGAGCGGCATGATGAGCACCGCACTGTCGAGGATGTCATTGTGCTCGTAGCTCTGGCCGAAGTAGTTGCCCTTGACGTTGAACGAATTGGCCTGGATCGTCTCGTACAGCTTGTCGCGCTTGCGCGTCCATTCTTCCTTATTCGGGCAAGGAAGGCAACGCTTATCCGCCAGTCGGATACCACGGTCGAGCGCGACCCACATCATGACCTTGGAGTACGTGTAGTTGGCCCACTTGCCGCGCGGCTCCCAAATCGACAGATCTTTCTTGTCGACCTGTTCGCACGTGTAGTCGACGACCTGCCTGATGGCCCTCCAGCTGTCCCAGGAGAGCGGGTTCGAGAACTTCTGCGCGAGGTACACACAGTCCATGAGCTCTCCGTAAATGTCGAGCTGGATGTGATCGACGGCACCGTTACCGATGCGCACGGGGCGCGAACCCTTGTGGCCTGCCAAGTGGTCGAGAACCTCCTCGGGTGCCTCCTTGCCGCCGTGAATCGTGTACAGGATCTGGAGCGAGCCGTCGTTGTTTCGGTCCTTCAGGCGGTCGAGAATAAAGTTGACGAACCGCGTCGCCTCACGCTTGAAGCCGAGTCGGATCAGGGCGTAGATGGTGAAGGACGAGTCACGAATCCACGTGAAGCGGTAGTCCCAGTTACGAGCTCCGCCAATGTACTCTGGGAGCGAGAACGTGGGCGCGGCGACGATGGCGCCCGTCTCCTCGAAGATGAGCATCTTCAACGTCAGGCCAGAACGGCGCACGTTCTCCCTCCATCGGCCGTCGTAGATACACCCGTCGATCCAGCCACGCCAGTAATCAATCGTGTCGTCCATAAGCTCACTGACGAGCTTCTCGGTCAGGATGGGCTCGCCGTCGGGACCGAGGAGATGGGCGGCCTTGCGGAGCTTCTCGGGGGCGACGCCGAGCTCCTGCGCGCGCTTGACCGTGCCCTGGACGGTGTCGCGTTGCTTCTCGTTCATGAACATCTCGTCGGGAACCTCGCGCAGAATGAAGTAGATGACCTGGCCCTCCTCGAGCTCAAACTCGGAGACCGCGGAGAGGCCGAGTAGGTCACGCTTGGGAAGCTTCACGAGCTTAAGGTCGATTGAAGGCGGGGCGACGTCGTCTCGCTCGCTGGCAACGACATAGCGAAGGTCGAGCTTCATGTCCTTGCTCTTGAAAAGGACCTTCTGTCCTTCCTTGCAGTAGTCCTCGCGGGATAGGTCCTCGACCATCTCGGCATCGTGCTTGTCACGGCAGTAGTTGAACGCAGGCGCACACTCCATTCGGAACTTGCACTTGCCGTTGACAGCCTCGACCTTACGGATGAGCCACGGCAGGGGCGCCTCATCCTGGTGTCGCGAGCGGTTGGCTTCCTTTGGAACGAGGAGGTCGGTGACCTGACCCACGCGGTCGTCGTTCAGGAACTTGGTCGCGAGCACATTCGAGTTGGGGAGGTAGTACTGCTTCGGGCGGAAGGCGGAGGTGGGGGTGATGGAGAAATGGCCGCCCTTGTCGGCGTCGACGATACGGGCAAAGACGGACGGAGAGTCAAAGTAGGGAAGGCAGAGGGACTCGACGGAGCCGTAGATCGAGACACTGGCGGTCGTACGGTTGTTGCCGATCAGGGCGTAGTCCTGGATGTCGGCGACGCGGACGCCGCTGGCGTCGACGAGCACGGGCGAGCCGTGCGCCTGTTGAAGGCCGGTCGTATGATCGTAGCTCTGGTCCATGAGGACGGGGAAGGCTTCGGTCCGGTGGTGTGCGTGTGACACGATGGGCAAACTCTATGCGCCAGTCGAAACTGGTCGGAATATATACTCAAGGGGGGGATGAATGGGTGGGGCAAGGTCAGGCGGTCTGGGTCGCTCCTGTCCTTACGAAGAGGGCAAGAGCGAGGTCCAGCGAGGAGCTCAGCGAGGGGTAAGCTCGGGGAGGCGCAGGAAGCTCGGTGCCGCGGAAAGAAAGAGAGGGGTCGTCGAAGGCGTACGAAGGTGGTCGAGATCTCGGTGGTCAGGTCGGTGAAAGCTTTGTCAGAGAGTGTGCTGTGTGGATTGTTGTGAGGTACTGAAAATGACTGGGCGATCGCAACGACAAGAGCTTGACGTCCGAGACATGGCAGGGGCGACGGCCTACGTTGTCATGCTCTGGGCAGTCGTTGCAAGCGGCAGCCGACCGCAGAAAGACAAACAGGGAGCCATCAAGTGATCCAGACGCTTACATGAGGCATGACGTCAGGGACACATTCCTCACTTCGGGCTCTTAGCCAAACGAGTCTCGCTAGAAACCGACTTCCAACCTTGAGAGTACTAGGTGCGGCCAAGGCGACCCCGTCATTTGCTGCGACCGACGAGGTGATCTTCATGCAAAGCACAGGCAGGCAGGCGGGCGTCACGAGAGAGAGGTCCTCTTAACCTCGTAACGAGAGCTTAGGGAACAGAGTGCATCTGCAAAGCTTACCCCAGGTAGCCGGGATGTCTGCTACTCCGTATGCGCCAAGCAGATCGCAACGTAGTCGATCGTCGTCAACGGTACCGCTCCCTCGGATCATGACATGTGGTAATGGGATGATGTTCGCGTAGGTTCTGGTTCCCAGTGAACACGAGCAACGTGTGATGCGCGAGGGAAGGTGGGCTAAGACCGAGATATCCGCAGCAGCCAGCAGCGCCAGGCTATCAAGCGTCGTACTTGGCCCGCATGTCGTTATCACGACGTAGATCTGACCGAGCTCGGTCTGGTCCAGGTGGTCTGGACCTCATCGCTCGGTGTGATAGCTCGGGACCACACTCCCACGATTAGGAGCGTCACTCAACTCGAAACACGCAGCCACAAACATCCTCTCGGACCATCTGTGAGACATGGCATGGGCTGGATAGTCACTCCCCTCATCGCTGTTGCCGATCATGCCTTGCCTTCTGAAGCTGAGATGCAGGTGTCAGACTGAGAAGGAAGTCACCGTCGCAGTCGATGAACGGATCAGGCCAGGCACAGTTCCAATTCAACGGTCAGCGATAAGAAACCAGAGAGTTCGATAGCTTGCCACACGTGCTACGCGTGCTGTGAAGCTGGCATCTCCAGTAACTTCGGGTGACCATGGCATGCTCGGGGGAGCCCACCCAGCTGCTATGGGAATACTTGGTCTTCTGACCCCAGCAGTCTTGCTGTTGGCTGCAAGCATCACAGGCACCGCTCTCGCCATTGCCCTCCTGACCGGCCGCCAACATGCTGAGGGCATAGCAGACTGCTTATTCCACTTGTACACCGCACCTGCACAGACGACCTACTCAGTGCATACAATAACAGTGATAAGAGCCCAATTTTAAGTGTGCTGAATGCCTAATCGCTCCTGGCGGCCTGTCCACTCCGCCAGGTCCGCCTCGGACTTTGGTTCGGGGCCCGCGACTCGCGTTCCTCACGGGGTTCGCGGCCCCGGTTTGCTGCCGCACTTGACTTGTTCTGATCCGTGGCTCGTTTCCCACGCACAACTTCGTACAAACACCTGCGCGTCCTGCCTGTGCCGACCAGCGGCTACCGCCTAGGGCTGCACGCCCCAGTCGGGGCCAAACATCTCGTTCGACTCGTGCGCCGTCTCGTCCAGCAGCATGTCGGCGGAGGCGTTGCCCCCAACTGGCAGACGGAGCTTGCCCTGCGGAGTCGGGACATAGGTTGGGAGGAAGCCAGCCTGCTGCAGAGCGGTGGCCTGGTCCCTGTGGCGTTAGCTTGCATGTCCATACGGAAGACCAGGCACAGCTTGCGGCGAGGAACACTTACCACCAGATGTGCTCGTGATAAAGACGGTCGCCGCGGATGTTGACAACGGCGATCATGGGAATGCGCAACTTGCTGCCACTCGGCGGGACGCCAGGGAGGAGCCAGTCAATCATGCGGTCGTGTGTGCAGCTGTAGATGAACTCGTCCACGACGCGGTCCGCGCCTATTGTGCGCGACACAGTCGTAAGCTCCGCACTGTCGGGGTTACTGAAGATGAAGTGGTCGCGATAGAACTCGAAGAGCGCTTCACGGCCAACTCCGCCCGTCATCGTAGGAACGTGGTTGACGTAGGGCTCAGCCTGGGGTTAGCTTGCGAAACGCCACATACAGTCTGCGCAGCAGCACGCTGCGCCCAGCAGCTCGCCTGTGCCTGCACAAGGCATTCGGATTGTCCTGCTGCAGTGATGACATGTTCGGAATCAAGGGCGGCATGAGGAAAGCATAGATCTGTCCAAGCCACATGACGAACGACAGGGCAGGGCCGCAATGCCAGACTCACCACCATGGTGCCCATCGTTTTCGAGACGGAGCGGTCGACAAACTCGTAGTGGGTGTGCTCCTCCCAGATCTGCTCGAGGTCGAAATACGGTCCTCCGAGGCGTTCGCGGAGAAAGACGAGAGAGCGAGTGTGTGCAATGGCCGCGTCGGTCGGCGAGTATGCCTTCGGTCCAGCTGAAGGCACAACAAAGTAGGACGACTCGGCATTGCCGTAGCTGCAGATCTTCATGTCCGCGGAATCGGACTCCTGCTCCGCATCAACGTCACCGGGAAGGTGGGCGAGGACGGGTACAGGGGCCCACGAGGGCGACGATCCATGCACGATCAGCGCAACAAGCGCCGGTTGCGAGGGCATGGATGCCACGATGGACTCGACCGCGGACGGGTCGTACACTAGGTGTCAGCTATGTGTGTAACTTGGCGAAGTGACCTGCACAGCAGGACACGAGGGTGCGAAGCGGGCCGTAGAGAACGCGTCTTGCAACGTGTACCGCAGTTACACTCACCGAGCACGGCATAACGGCCCTTGTTGTCTACGTCTGGGCAACTTTCGAGGCCAGCGATGGCGACAGCGAGCGTCTCGGTGATGTCCGAGTTGGCGCTGAGCTGGACACCAACGACAGCGAAGCCTTCCTCGGCCCACTTCTGCACGGGATCGGGGTCGAGGGGCGTCTTGAGACCGCACTTGGCATGAGGGCGCAGCGACAGACGCGAGGGAAGAACAGCAATGACGCCTGGCCCATGGCCGCGGCGGCTGAGGGGGGGCTGGAGCTTGATGCCGGGGCCGAGCTCTTGGATGGGAGCGTCTGGCAAGCGAACTGGGCGCTCGGACTCAGCTTGGGGGTCGTACTGTATAGTCATGGGCATGCGAGTGAGGGGAAGATGGGAGATGAGGATGAAGCAAGATGGGGGGTGTCCGTTGCGGGATATGGGAGGGGGACATGCGGGGTAGAGGGGCGTACGGTGCGGGGTAGGAGGGGGCGCGCGCGCCGTGCCGCCTGGATTTGCCGCTCTGCAGCGCACTACGCGCGCCAGGGGCGAAGGGGGGGCGCTACGGCATGAGGCACGGACTCTGTGCAGCTGCCCGTTACGCAATGCCGGCGCCGGGCACCGGGCCAGCCCCGCCACCGTACCGCAACGCTACTGCGGAACCTCGATGCGCAAACTAGTCCATCTTTGGCTGTATCCATGTCTTGCACCATTCACTCTTTACCATGGACCGACCACCCGGAATTCACCACGTCCCAATGACCTTTGCCAACAATCGGCGACTCGCTGTCCCGCAGCGGCCGCAGGCCGGCCATGCGGGCCCGAGCCATTCCGGCGGCCCACCACTGTCCCCACGAGCGAGCAACACCGCTGCCCCCTCATACACCCAGTACATGGCGACGCCGAGCCCACCACCACTGTCTCCCTCACCATTAGGATCACCGATGTCCCGCCAGTCCTCAATACAGTCAGGCTCGCTCGGCGTGCTGTCAACACCCGCGATCGAAGCCGACAACCCCCACGTCGCGAGTGATGAGCAAGTCGATCTCGGGTCACCGGAGCGTGCGCCGCCGCCGAAACTAAGCCAAGGCGAGCCCCCAACGGCACCTCTGTGGGCCGCCATTGAGCGGTTGTCCAAGCAGTGCGACGAGCACCAGCTCCGCTTCCGGGCATCCAAGGTGAGCTACTTGGATGACCATCAGCTGATTCCAGTCCTCGTTCGAGCATCGCATCTTCTCCGAGTTCCCGCAAATCCTGTCCCGCTTAGCAGAGCTCGATAACCGGGCAGAGGTGAGCTGTTATACCGACGAGCGTCAAGCTGACGATCAGCAATGCACGGCCGAGCTCTTCGCGGCCATCAACGAGAGCCAGCCCGAGCTGAAAGCGCGCCTGGAAAAGGTCTTACAGCGGCGGCGAGAAAACGTCGATGAGATGCGTGTGCGCACAACGCCGTGGGTCGACTTTCTGCCCGACGACGAGGAGGACGACCTCGAGCTCCTCTCCGCCAAAGAAGGCGCGACGGCGATGGTGCGCCGCGAGTCGGGCAAGATCGAGCGCGTCAAGGGCGCGAACGCGACCAACGTCGACTCGGACGCGCTCGCTATGATCGAGCGCTGGGCCGAGGAGGTGAAGATGCACCTCGCCGATGAGATTGGCCGTCTTCGCACGCAGCTCGGAGAGGAGAAGCGCAGAGCGTATATCCTCTATCGCCTGTTGGGGTTAATGCTCTTCTGCGTCTTCATGCTCGGCGTGTTCTACCTCATCGCCAAGGCCGGCGAGCGCGGGAGGGCCTTGACGACCGCGTAGGAGCGGCGTGATTAGAAAGCACTGCTGTCCGCCGTGTCGTGGGATGTTCTTCGTTGTATTGTGTACCTGCTGTTCCTCCTCTCTCTGTTTTCTGTCCGTAAGAACCTGCGCGACGACTACGACCTGCTCGCCACACCCTAGCCATATACCTGCATGCGTTGCAACATGCACCTTCTATAATATCTTGCGACACACGGCTGGGCCAATGAATATAACTGCAAAATGCATGCCAATACCGTCCTCATCAAGGTCTACCTCGTGATCTCTACTCCATTCTATCGCCTTCCCGGCCTGCCGCGGAGGGCACGCTGAGCCGCGCCGCGGGGCGCGGGCGGGCCGGCCTGCTGCGCCTCGCTCTGGGGGTTACGCACCGTCTCGTCGACGGAGAGGATGAGGCAAGCAGCCTCGATGGCGGACGAGAGCGCGTTAATCTTGACGAGCGCAGGCTCCCACACGAAGCGCTTCATGTTGTCGCCGACACCCTCGCCGTCGACGTCGACGCCGGCCCACGTGTCGCCCTTGGCGTGACCCATGCGGAGCTTGTTAAGAACATCAGTCGCGTCGAGGCCGGCGTTGTCGCAGATCTGGCGCGGGATGACCTCGAGCGCCTTGGCGACGGCGCCGACAATGAGCTGCTGCTTGCCCATGATCGTGCGGCTGTAGTTTCGCAGGTACTTGGAGATCTCCATCTCGCACGCACCACCACCGGCGACGACCTGGTTGTTCTTGATCGCACGCTTGACAACCATGATCGAGTCGTGCAGCGAACGCTCGACCTCGGCAATGAACTGCTCGGCGCCTCCACGCAGGATGAGCGTACACGTCTTGGCACGCGGGCAGTCCTCGAAGACGTTGAATCGCTCTCCACCGACCTGCTTCTCCTCAAAGTGACCACAGGTTCCGAGGTACTCGGGCTTGATGTCGGAGGTCGTCGACTGAACCGATCCGCCAACAGCCTGAACCACACGCTTCATGTCGTCACCAGCAACGCGTCCAGCACAGAAGATGTCGCGGTCGGCGAAGTACTGCGTGGCGAGGTCTCCAATGGGGAGCTTCGAAAGAACAACCTTGGCACCGGTGGCGACGATCGCCTCGAGCTTGCGGTAGATGATGGTCCACTCGGCGTCGACGATAGCCTGGTACTCGGACACCTCATTGACACGGATCTCGGCGTTGTCCTTCTCGGCCTTAAGCTCAAGCTCGACGTTCAGGCAAAGAATCTTGGGGTTGTCGAACTGCTTGGGCTGCTGCTCGAATCCAGCGTACGAGAAGGTCTTCTTGAACGCGACACCCTTGATCAGCTCCGAGTCCTGCATACCTCCACCCGGCACCTTCTTGACACCAATCAGCGACTCGTCCAGGTCATCCTGGTCAAGCGACAGAACGGCGTCAACAACCATATTGGAGAAGAAGGGCATTTGGGAGTGAATGAGCTTTGACGACATCGACGTTGACGCGCACTTCAGCAGAAGGTCGCGGAACTCCCTAGCACTTGTCAGCAACACTTCGGACGTGGGTTTCGTGAAACGCACTCCTTGTTCGACTTGTCAATCGTGACAGCAATCTCGTTGATCTTCTTAACGGCCAGATCACGAGCCTCCTTCAGTCCCTTGATGATAGTGTGGACTCCGACACCCTCCTCGACGTATGGTCGGACCTCCTTCAGGATCTCGGCGGCCAGGAGAACAACAGAGGTGGTTCCGTCACCAACCTCGGCGTCCTGAGCACGGGCAATGTCGACAAGAGTGCGCGCAGCGGGATGAACAATGTCAAGAAGCTTGAGGAGGGTGGCACCGTCGTCTGTTTGTCAGCTCACTGCACAGATTGGCTAGCTCACTGGAAATGGTCGCGTTTCCGCGCTCGTCCACGATCAGCTTGTCCATACCGCGGGGACCGAGAGTCGTGGCAATCGTCTGCGCAACAGCAATACACGCAGAGATGTTGGACAGGAGCTGGGGGGTTCCCTGGGAGGTGTCGGTGCCCTCTGGAAAGTTAGCTTACGCTCTCTCGGCGAGTTGACGCTATGACGCACCCCTAAGGAGGACAACGGTCGGTTGCTGCAGCGTTAGCACTTGAACTGATCAGACTGGACGGTACGTACCATCGAAGGAAGCCTTCCCTGCATTTTTGAGCTTGTTCGTGAGCTCGAAAGCGGGTGGGTTGGGACGAGTGGAATTTATGGAATACCACAGATGTTCGCGGACATCGACCTGACCTGGACGCGAGTGATGCGACAGCCTGGTGGAAGGAACGCCACGTGCTGGACGTGTTTTGCTTAATCGAGCCCCACTCCAGGAAGGACGACACGGCCAAGAACCGTCGCCACCAAAGGGGTGGAATTGATCGTATGTTTTTTTCTCGATTTCTCCCATCACCCGAGTCCCACCCAGCGACCATTGTTATTGTTGACAACCGGCATCCCGGACGATCGCGTCGAGCTGCAGGACGAACATGGCCCCGACATCACAAGGCGAGAGCACTACCATGGGCGCCGTCATGCCTTCTACCGTTGGGAGCAGCGGACTCAACCTCGCGGCTATAAACCTCGACCCGTCTCTCCTTGCCCTCGCCTCCGGCACGTCATCGACCCCATTGGACCCCGCCCTGTTCACGATCGAGCAGGTGGTGAATGATGTCCGCGAGGGCAGGATCGGACCCGACGACCTCCGTGATGAAACGAAGCCCGCTGATCACACTGAAGAGGGAGTGTCTGAACCTGTCATTGAGGAAGAGCCCCACCCCCATACCCACGCACAGCCGGAACCCGAGCCTGAGCCGGAGACGGAGCTGCAGCTAGATGATGACGGCATTGATCCGGCACTCCGAGAGATTGTCAACAGTCTTACAAATGCCCAACAGGTAAGCTTCGCCTTCCATGGATATGAGCTGACGTTTAGTCACATCCAATTGCACCCGGCGATGAGCGCGAGACTCTCGACCGAGAGCGCCTTCAGCACACGCTGCAGTCTACCCTCGAGGACTTCGCTCAGGGCAACTTTGGGTCCTACGGTGCCATCTTCAACACGAACTTCCCCCAGTCGCCTAATCATCTCGTGTTACCGCTCGAAGAGCCAGTCCCGGAGCCCACTGTACCCGTGAAACGCGGACGAGGAAGACCAAAAGGATCGAAGAACAAGCCCAAACCTGGCCAGCCCACAGAACCACCTCCACCTCCCCCTCGCAAGCCGAAGGGTCGCCCCCCGAAGGTGCGCACGGCTGAGGAGTTGGAGGAGTTCGAGCGTCGCAAGGAGGAGAAGGCTCTCGGTATCAAACGAAAACGCGGCAGGCCCAGGAAGTACCCCGAGCTCGGTCTCGTGCGCGAGATGCGCCTGAAGAAGAACCGGGAGGCTGTGCAGGAGAAGATTCGCATGCTGGAGGAGCGAGCCCGCCTCGAGGAGGCTGCAGCTGAGAACGGCGGTTCCGCGCCCCCCGTCGAGCAGCCCGAGGCTGAGATGCAGTCGGAGGAGATGCCGCCCAGTATGTCGGCGTCCGACGTGGCGCAGGTCGCCGAGGCGGTTGCTCGCCAAGAACAGGGTAACTACGCTTGGTCGTACCCTGACGGCCAGTCTCTGCTGGACGTGGTCGGGGCGAGCTACTCGAGCATGCAGCGCGGAGACATCGACGACGTCGTTGGTAGCATGGACGGAGGGGGCGGGAACGTCTTTGGCCTTCCCGATGTAGGTGGTGTGTCCAGTGTGGACGGGCAGCAGTAAAAGAGTGGTCGATACACTCATGTGTTGTAGACATGTACCTGTACCCAATGTATATCTCCTGTACACGACAGCCGGCGAAGGATGGAACAGGGACAATGCATTTCTAGAGTTACTTAATGTTACCGCAGACAGCCTCCGACGGGATGGAGGTGTTGAGGATGAGCGCGACGATGAGACCGTACAAACCCTGGCGTCAGTAGAGCGCCCAAACACTGGTCGTGGCGTTGGATACACACGATAACTTCGCTGGACCGTTAGCTTGAAAACAGTGGAGGACACTCACGCAAAAATGAGGATAAGAACCATGGAGACGAAGACCTTGTTCTCGTAGAGGTAGACGCGGACGCACTGGAGTCAGTTTCCGTGTCAACAATACAACTAGGGGACGTACAGCGTCGCCGACCTTGCCGATCGCGTAACCGGCCGCAAGACCGGTCATTCCGCAAGAAAGACCTGCGGCCAGATGAATAAAACCGGCGTACAGGGAGTACGGAGATGTCGGGGAGACTGTGGTCAGCGAAGAAAGGATGCGAGAGCTTACTGTTGCCCGAGATGAGGACCGATACAACGAGACCGTAAACGGCGATGACTGTTGTTAGATCCTTAGTAACGTAGGCTCGATATTATACGCACTTCCAGACATCTGACGTTAGCGATGAAATGTAAGCCAACGAAAGCTACTCACAACAACAGGAATAAGGGCCTTGCAACGATCAGCGACGTTCGGACATTGGCATCGAAGTACATACCTTCATGATAAGATCAGGCCTGCGCGTTAGCTCTAAAGTCATCGCCTATCAGCTTACCTAAACTGTCCCATTCCTGAAATACCGATTCCTGACTTGGACGTGCCGTAGGCAGCGCCCACGGTCGAGAGCGTCATCTGCGCGTTAGAACTGGGAAGGTCGGCAACGGGAACATACGGCAGCAGCAACGCCGGCAAAGCTGTTGTCAGCGGACATCACTCGGCACTTCCCTACCCGAAGAAAGGGGCCCAAACAGGGCAGAGCTCGGACATGGCTGGTCGCTACTCTGGATGAGGTTGACGATGGAGGAGAGGCGGTGACGGCCATCTCACAGTCCGATGCGTCACTTGGAGAGGGACCCCGATGCTCCCGTGGCTGATGAAACCACCACGCGATTTTGCTTCCGCCGCGCCCAGCCGGCTCAATGGCGACCCTATGTTACCAACAATCATTCACGCGTCTCGAGTAACCATACAGCCCTCAGTCTCATCTATCGCGCCGCTATCCATCCACCATGCCGCGCAGCCGCCGATCAACAGCGGCACGCGCGTCACCAGCGACACCCTCCCGACCGAACCGCTCGCGCAAGGTCAAGGAGGAAACTGAGAGCGCCGGCGAAGATATGGACGTCGACGGATACGAGGACCCTGATGACGAGGAAGACGTCCCTGGTCCATCCAAGCGATCGAAGGCTCGTAAGCCTCGTGCATCGGCAGCCAAGAAGCGCCGTATTGTCGAGGACGACGCCACCGAGCTCTCAGAGGACGAGGTCTCCACACACTCCCGCCGCCGCAGCTCCAAACAGGTCTCGTACAAGGAGATTCCCATCGACAATGACGAGGCGGATGACGATGACGATGCTGAGGAGGAGGAAGACGAGGAAGAGGAGGAAGAGGAAGAGGAGGTCAAGGGTAAGCTGCATAATACGAAGTGCAAGCAGCTGACTGTCAGTTGAGAAGCGCTCAACACCAGCGCGCCGAGGAAGGAAGGCGAAGGAAGACAAGGGTGACAAACCCTACAAGAAGGAAGGCGGCGGTGGCCGAGGCGGTTTCAGTGTCAAGGGCGCTGCTGCTGCCGCCGCCCGTGCTCGTTGGGACAAGGTCCGCCGAGAACGTGCAGAGCGCGGGGAAGACCCCGACGAGACCCCGCGCAGCCGCCGTACCAACACCGTTACGAAGAAGGACCCCCGTGGCGCGCTCGAGAACGTCATCGAGGGCCACAAGTACTCAATCAAGGGCCAGGAGTATGTGGCTGCCGATGATGAGCTCATCCTTCCGGACGACCCCAAGGGTGACACCAAGATCGATGCCGAGGGCCACCTCCTGGGCGGTCGCGAGTACAAGCTTGTCACTTTCACGTCGCCGACGCGCAAGAACCCGAACCGTGTTTATGCTCTCACGATCGACGCCGCCCGTGCATGTGGATACACTGATTCGCTTGCCTTCCTCCGTCGTTGCCCGCAGATCGTCAAGCTTTCCTGCAACCCTGAGGAGCGCGAGATGTTGATTGAGGTCGGACGCATAACAGGCAACCTCAAGCACCGTATGGTCACCATGGTGGCTATGCGCAATGTGTACAAGCTCATGGGAGCAAGGCTTGTGAAGGACGGAAAATGGGTCGACGACGACTATAACGAGGAGCAGGCTCTGCAGGACTGCGCAAACAACGGCTACAAGCCGCATGGCCCGGTCACGGAGGAAGAGTTGGCGGCGAACCAGTACCCGTCTGCCGGAGGTCCCCGTCCGGCGGCTAGCCAAAGCATGTATGCGGACGGCCAAGCGTCGAAGTCGACTCTGGCATCGTTCTACCCCGCGGGCGGAGCGACGACCCAGTTTGGTTCCAACGGCGCTGATCCCTGGGCCGACAATCTGAACCAGAAGCGGCATCGCCTGCGTCAATTAGGCGTTACCGAGGAGGACTGGATGCTCCGTACGGCGGAGGATTCCCGACGCATCGACGAGACACTGCGCGGGATCCGAGAAGAGCGCATCACGGAGCTCGAAGGAGTCGATGCCACTCGCGGCTGGGTGTACGCCACGGAACGCTATTCCGAGGGGCTCGTCAAGAAGGAACCTCAGCACCCACTTGCCCGCGAACTCTCCTTGGACGCGGCGCCGTCCAGCGACGCACTTTCACCTGCGCCACCTGAGTCAGCCGTTAATGTCGCCCTGGCTGAGGCTAATGGCAACCCCGAAACGGAGCAGGCGGAGCGCCGCACCTTCGAGGGCACCCCGGGAGGCAAGATTGTTGTGGAGAACGAGGCCGAGACCGTGAATGGCCGGCCACGCAAGGGCAAGTGGACGCCTGGAGTCATCCGTGCCGCCTACGAGCCCCACACGCAGATGCCTCACGTCCCTCTGAGCACGCAACCCACGTATGGTTCGCTCGATCGCGTCGCGTACAAGCCTCTGATCGGCCTGGAGTCTGAGGCTCGCCTGAAGACCGCTCCTGGCATTGCCTCCGTCGAGTTTGCGTTCAACCCTACTCACGCCGGATATGGGTGGTTGGACTTTGGTGATGGTATTCAGGGAGCGCATGTAGCCGAGCAGAGGACTGCCGCTGTGAAGGCGGCCGAGGAGTGGGAGCGCAGCCTAAGGGAGCAGCGCAAGCAGCGGCGCTCAGAAGTTTCGTAATTCGTTCTTAGGTCATACATACAACGTTGTATCTACTGTGATTCTACTTGCCCTGGAAGATGGGCTTGCGCTTCTCGGCGAAAGCGCGGAGGCCCTCGAGACGGTCCTCAGAGTCGAGAAGGGTAGCGTAAGCGGCACGCTCAAGACGAAGTCCCTCGTCGATGGGAGTGCCGGGGGCGGCATTGATCGCCTGTTTGGCGGCGCGGAGCGAGAGAGGAGCTGTTCATCAGTGTTTGAGCTCCCGCGAGGGTGAGAGGTGGACGTACCAGAAGAGAGCATGAGCTCAACAATGTCAGCAGCGGCGTCAGTGGAGTTCTGGCCGTCCTTGGCGATCTTGTCGATGAGGCCTGGGAAGGTCAGCTAGTCAAGGAGAAAGTTCGCTCACCGAGCTCGAGAGCCTCGTTGACGTCAACCTTGCGGCCGGTGAAGATAAGCTCCATAGCCTTGCTCCTTCCGAGGAGGTGAGTCAGGCGCTGGGTGCCACCGGCACCGGGGATGATGCCAAGCTTGACCTCGGGAAGGGCAAAGGTCGTCTCGGGCTGACCGGTACGGAGGTCGCAGCAGAGCGACAGCTCGGTGCCGCCTCCCATAGCGGGTCCCTGCACGGCAGCAATGGTGGGCATGGGGAGCTTCTCAAGATCGCGCATCATCTGGTTCATGTCGTTGAGGAACTTGTCAACACGCTCCCTGGACATTGTCTTGCGCTCGCGGAGGTCGGCACCAGCGCAGAACACGGGTCCGTTGGCGTGCACCATGGTAACGCGAGTTCCGTCGTTGGGGAGCTTGGCCATGATCTCGAGCAGCTCGTCGACCATCTGCATCGAGAGCGCGTTGCGCGCCTCAGGGCGGTCGAGGACGATGGCGGAGACACCGGGCAGGTCGCGGTTGAGCAGCTTGGACGCGGGGGTGAGGTAGGCGTGCGGCTTGGAGGCGACCGAGTACGAGCGCGCGGCCTGGAGAGCGCGGAGGGGACGACCGGGGCGGAGACAGGGACGCATCGTTGCTGAGCTGAGTGGTGAGATGGGGTGGTGGACGAAGACAGGATGCCAGAAAACAAACGTCACTTGTATATCCCGACGTAGTGTGGGCAACGCGGGCGCGGAGGTGGCTATAGCTCGGCAAGATGCAGGTGATTGCTCGCTGCCGGCCTTCGGCATCCAGATCCGTCCACGGACGCTCGGATCTCGGCAACTCTGGCGGGGTACGAGCCGGAAGTAGCATTGTGGGCCACCGCACACCGACCACGTGGGAATGTCATTCGAAGCGCCAAGCCGCGGCGTCTTCCCAAATTTTGGAAACGCCGACTTTGGTTCCGCCAACACCAGTCCAAACTGTGGTTGCGAACTCGTGGCTCGGGAAATCTGGTTCCGTCGCTGGGAGCGCTCGTACGCTGGTAGATCCTGTTCAGTGTAACGTCTTCTTCTTTCATCGGCCTTCGACACTCAGCAAGAAAACCGACCATGCAGGTGAGCATCTACTGCTGACGTGCGACGGAACGCCGGAGAGAGACATCATTGCGGACCGAACGACTGCGACACCGACGCGACTTTCGACACGAAATTCGATGGAAAGAAGACTGGGAATGTTGGAAGGATCAATTGGACGAGGGAACGGAATCGGTGGCAAGTGGTCTTTCGACAGCGCATGGAGACGGTCTGCGCAAATTTGGCGGGTTTGGAACGGGCTGAGCACGTTGGAATGGATTGAGAGACGCGTCTCAAGCGAACGATCATTTGCGCAGAGGCTTCTTTGGCCTTGCGCGAAGTATGGGAAGTGCTCTCGTTATCTGACTTTCTTTCGTCCCGCACGTACATGCGACAGCCTCCCACGAAGACGCTCTTGTTTTACCCGACGCCATGACCGCGACTTTCGACGTCTATGTGCACCGACACAGCGCTTCTTTCCGCCTCGATCCGCGCGTTCGGCTTTGCTGTCTCTCTATCGGTTTTCGTTCACGGGCTTCCCTTCTTTCTGTCGATTTGTGCTGACTTGCCCCAGATTTTCGTCAAGACGTGAGTTTCTCGACCCGACCGTGTTTCGGCGCCGACGGAAGGATTGTTTGGACGTATGCTGACCCTATAGCCTCACCGGTAAGACCATTACTCTCGAGGTCGAGTCCTCGGACACCATCGACAACGTCAAGTCGAAGATCCAGGACAAGGAGGGCATTCCCCCCGACCAGCAGCGTCTCATCTTCGCCGGCAAGCAGCTCGAGGACGGCCGCACCCTCTCCGACTACAACATCCAGAAGGAGTCGACCCTCCACCTCGTCCTCCGTCTCCGTGGTGGTTTCATTGAGCCCTCGCTCAAGGTCCTTGCCTCCAAGTACAACTGCGACAAGCAGATTTGCCGCAAGTGCTACGCTCGTCTCCCTCCCCGTGCCACCAACTGCCGCAAGAAGAAGTGTGGCCACACCTCCCAGCTCCGCCCCAAGAAGAAGCTCAAGAACTAAGCAGCTTTAGATATAGCGTCGTCGTTGTGTCTAGGGCAAGGGCCTGGGCGCCGCGAGTCGTCCGGTAGCCCGATGTATTTCTTCTCTCGCGGGTAAAAATAGCTCAGTTAGAGTGATGATTGCATAGAAACCTCACTTGCATGGTGCATGGACGTCCCCATACTGACGTTTGCCACCCAACATGAAGGAAGGGTGTGAAAATGTGCGGGAGAGGCGTGGCGGTGATGCAGCTTGTGTCCGGAAACCATCAGGAATCACCCAGTGTGTGGCGACCGAGCAGCCCCAAGCTTCTGGCTTTGACCTGTCCTGGTACTTTGTTGGTCCGACACTTCCAGAACTCGCGGTGCAGGCTCTGCACAAGCTTTACGGGGTAGGAGGATGCAATCCAGTGGCAATGGAAGATGCCACTGATGATACTAGGTACGGAGACAACCCGCCTCTCCGTGTCAATCACTTCCACCGTCGTGCCTCGGTCCAGACCGACTGAAGTGGAGGACGACCGACCATTGTCAACATCACCACTTCATCCGCAGCCAGCATGGAGGAGCAGGACCAGAACCTCGCTCACATCCATTGGTGAGTTTCTGATATTTGGGACACGCTACAGGCTGCATGCAAGCTTGCACCGTCGTTTGGCCACACGACAGCCTCGCCAAACGTCCTTCGTCTCCCAGTTCTTGTGCTCGTGACTTGTGAACTGACCCCAGGTCATGGCCTGAAGCCATCGCCGCCAATCCGGCGCGTTCACTGGCGACGCCAGACCTGGCGATGGACTACTTTGCGCACTCGCCCTTCTTTGACACCCAGTCGAATAACAGTGTGCTGCGGACCCAGCGTCGTGTCGAGAACCCGACGTACGGCCATGCGGAGGAGAAAGTGTAAGTTGCCTGAGCTGTCGACAACAACTAACCCACAGAGAGCTTGTCGCCTTCCGCTCCGGGTTTGAGTACATTGTTGCGCACTCCTTGCCGCCGAACCTGTTCGTCATTCACCGGCGCAATGTCCTGCCGGACGGAGGAAGGGGACCAGCGACGGCAGCCTACTTCATCCTTCACGACAAGGTGTACCAGTCTCCTTCGCTGTATGACGCCGTCTCGACGCGCCTGAGGAATGCCACGCACCTTCTCGAATCGACGTTCGACAGCCTCGAGAAGAACCGCCCGTCGTCTAACCCGCGTGCCGCCGGCGTATGGATATCGAAGCCGCTTGAGGTCAAAGAGACCGATTCGCGGGACACGCGCTCTGCCTCTGCTACCGGGTCTGGAACACCAGGCGCTGCAGCAGGTGAGAAGGACAAGGACAAGGAGACGGCGGACCCGAGTTTGAACGGCCAGAAGAAGGAGCAAAAGGGACCAGACTGGCACCTCTGGCACGCGCTGAACATGACGACGGCGGCGATGGAGGATCTCGACCGCATGGCGGCGTCCGACCCGCCGCAGTTCGACAGCGCCGCCGAGGCCAAGGCGCTCGATGCGTCTGCCGCCGCCCTCGTCCGCCTTCAGCAACAGGCGCCGACCTCGGGACAGAGCCAGGCGCCGATGCCCCAGCCCCAGATCCAGATCAACACCAACGTCGCCAACGCCCAGAGCCCGATGGGCATGTCGGCCGCGTCGCCGTTCCCGAGCGCCATGGCCGGATTGGCGGGCACCCCTGGTGCTGCGTCGAGTCCGCTGCGATTCCGCATGGCCGCCGACTCGCCCGCCCCGTAGACGATGATGACCGTGTACGACTATTGTATGCATATATAGAGGACAAGGGGAACAATTTACAACGCAGCGTGGACGACAGTGTTTCTAGCAGTAGTAGTCGAGATACTCGCGCCAGAGCTGGGGCAGCGGCGCACCCGCCATCTCCTGCCACCAGCCCTCGTTGTAGCGCTCGTTCGCGAGGCGGTAGTCCATGTGCCGGACGAGGTTGGGGAAGGGGCCGCGACGCTGCTTCCCCGGCCTGCACGGGACGCGGGGCGGATACTGCTCGTTGGGCGGGTACTGGCTCTGGTGTGCGCCGGGGGGACCCGTCGGCGTCGGCTGCTGCACGCTCGCGGTCTGCGCAATGTGCACAAGGTCGTCCTTCGTCTCGCCCGTGAGCCAGGCAAGGAAGTTGGCGCCCGCGTCGTACCCGTCCTTCCAGCCCTCGTCGCGCTTGCCCTGCCCCGGCTTGCGCCAGTGCGGCGGCCCGAGGTCGGTCTGCATGCGGATGTAGTCTGCGACACTCTCCGTCAGCCAGCTGGGGGAGCTGCCGCGGCCGTCGTGCTGGATAACGTGGACGAGCTCGTGCACTGGAGGTTAGCTTGTCGGAAAAGTGCATGGCAGCTCACTGATGACGCCCTTGAACTCGAATGCGCACGCCTCGAGCGTCTTCTTGCCGGCATTGTAGTCATTCATCTGACTCGTGATCCACGAGATGCAGATCGTGCACTTCCCGCTCGCCGTCCACGCCAGTCCGGGGCCCTTCTCGTCCGTGATCTCGATCGTGATGTGCTTCCACGCCCAGTTCGTGGGATACTGCGGGTCGACGAGCTTGAGGCGCGCAAAGTTCAACGCGTGGTAGGCCAGGCCAATCGGGTCGGGGACACACGTCAGGAAGAAGCGCGTCGCGGCGTCGTACTGCGGGTCGGGGTGCTCGAGAGTGTAGCACAGCGAGCCGGGCGGGATCGCGCCGCGATACGGGTGCTGACACGGATGCAGTGCCGGGCGGCCGTTCGAGGGGTCCGCATTCGTAAGGTACGAGGAAGCAAGGACGGGGCAGTTCCTGCTCCCTCCACCTGGAGGCGGGGGACGGAACGCCGCCTGCGACTGCTGCGCTTGTTGCTGAGCTTGCTGCTGGATGTCCTTGAACGCCTTGTCGAGCTTGCTGAACAGTCCCATGGCGGTTGGCGGTGATGAGGAATCAACATCCAGCAGCACACAGCTGTGACGTAGGACCAGCCAGGTGGCGGCGCGGGAGACGCCCAGGCACGACCGCCTGCTTCTCATTAGCCTGATTTCACGCTTCATTAGTATCGTTTGTTTACAAGTTGCATTTGCACCCGCTATTTCATCTGTCCGTGGCACCGAGCGCAGTGGCGATCAACGATCGAGGACAACATTCCGATCTCCCATCGTGCACACTTCTGCCTGACCCAGATGCGAGGTGTCACTTACTGGACGCGAACACACCGTTCTCTTGGCTTGACTCGGCACTCACAAGATACCGCATTCCTTCTGCGGTGCTCACTGCCGTCTAAACTGCACTTGCGACAGCTTCCTTTGGGTAATAGTCAGAGACATTGCCAATACTCGGGACTGCTGATGATCGGTTCTTGGCCATAGCCCGTGAACGCGCCAGGATGCGTGTCAGATCCTCCTAGTTTTTATCGGAGAACTGAAAACCCGTTTATCCTCTTGACTGCGAAAACGGCTCGAGGGCTGCAACGGCGCGGCGATATTCAGTGCTCATATCTGAACGTGCAACGCGATAGTGTCATGGTGGGCTTCAAATCCTCCTTTGACAAGATCGATAAGAGAGAAAACGAGCTGCCTAGTTCTCATATAACTGAAAGGTCCAGACCACGGCCATGGAGACGCACACAACCTCGGGCCCGCATTCTTCTCTGTCAGAAGTGACTACCACTGGGGTACCGGTGCAGCTGCAACCGGGGCATGTGTCATAACATAAGCATATCAACAAGCGCGACAGCCGACTCGCACCCGAGCTGTGGAAGGGCATGTGTCGGCTGAGCGCATCCTCCTTGCGCGGCGAGCCGAGACTGCGGTCTGCACGCCGCGGCGCTATTGTACATCTCGAAATGCGATGAGGGACGAAACATACGGTCTTGTTTTGCTTTGCTTAGCGATATCTTGCGTTTTGTCGTACAGTGATGAGTAGCGGGGCCTGGCCAAAGTCGGCAGGTGGTATAGGGCACCAGGAGAAAACAGCATAGCAGTTATCGGTATGGTAATGCACGAACCGTCAGACGCGTTGTGGGTTTTGTTGATTTTTACTTGATGGCGGAGAGATCCGAGAATGAAATCCGAGAATGCTGGGCTGAGACCGGACAACAGACACTCATCACTCCTTAGCGTCCCGGGGAGTTGTGGGCATGCAGGTCGTGCTGCGACTGCCCATCCCACTGCTTCCCCTTATCGGTCAGGGGAACGTACTGGGGTCAGCTGGGCACCAAACTTCCAAGCTCACCATGACATTGTACAACTTCTTCTGCGTGACGTTGCCGTCTCCGTCCTTGTCAACCTGCCAGATAGCTGTCGTCAGCCTTCTGTGACACCGAGCCGGCCCAGTGTCCGCAGATATCGCTTGCCTACCGGGGCCGATAACCGCTCACTTCGCACTTTGCGGACCTCAATGACCGTGCCGAGCTCTGACACTCACCCTGATCCTCGACGCCGATGGGGATGAACATACGCCCGGGGGCGGCGAGCTGCTCGACCAACGCGGCCGGCATCGTTGGAGCGGCTGCGCCTACGTGAATCGCCTGATATGGAGCTGTCGTTTGTTAGCGCGCTGAAACCTTGTGGCCCGAGTCTCAGCCGGCTTTCCCACAGGCGTTCCCGCATACCTTTGGCGGCCCAGCCGGCACGACCGTCTCCGCAGACAATCTCCACCTTCTCACTGGGCCCATGCTTAACGCCGTCCTTGTCCAGATTGGTCCGGGCAAGGTCGGCCAAACCTTGGAGGTGATCGATGCCGACGATGGTCGCATTGGGCGCGATCTTGTGCAGCACAGCGGTCACTGCTCGGGCAACCAGGATTAGGGCGGTTCAATGGGGCGGCGCAAAGGGGACGATAAGGGGGGAATGATCGACAGTTCCGTTGCAGTATGGGTGCCGGAGTGTGTGCGTCAGGCCCAGGCGGGGTTGGAGAGGGCATTAACGATGGGGCGCAAAGAACCATGAGGGCCAGACAGCCGAATACGTCCAAGCAGAGAGGAGTTGGAGAGGAGAGGTCAACGTGTGCAAGAAGGGGGCAAGCAGGCAGCAGCGTGGTCCGTTCAGATCGATTCGAATCCAGTGGCAAGTCTGTGTCAGTATCTCCCTTGTATCCTTGGCCGTGTGCTCACGGTACCCGCTCCCAGATCCCACGTCAAGGACGGCGCCGTGAACTCGGTCTGCGATCAAGAGGTGATCGAGCAGATTCTCGCATGCCTTCGCATGCATGTGCGGCGCCGAGATGGTCGCGTTGAAACCGATCCGTCTAATGGGTGTCAGAAACAGGGTTGTGTCAGAAGGAGTCAGAAGGAAGGTGTCCACGAGGGCTGGGACTTTGGGCGAACGGTAGTGACAGAAACGGAGCGGGGAAGGCAGACGTGATATTGCCGTTGAGAGAACGAACGGGATAGCTTAGCTGCTCGGAGGAAGGCGTCTCAGAGGTCTGACACGGCGGGAGAGACTTACTGCGGAGAATCGTCGTATGCACTCCAGCCGGACGGGACGTAGTTCTTGCGGTCGACCGCCTTCATCGCCTAGTCCCAGTGCGTCAATAATGTCTTTGTCTCTCGTGTGAGAACGATCGGAAACTCACCCCAGCAATGAGCGGCGACTTGAACTGATGATTGGCCAGAAGGCGGTCCACCATCTATCTCGGAGTCAGCATGCGTTATTGGCGCCCACAGGGAGGTTCGGCAGCAGGAGGAGGACGACCAGGACTGCCGACGTTTCAGATGCCCACTTCGATGTTGGTTCTACCACTCGACAGCCAGGCCATGGTGTTCTGGAGGCGGAAGAGGCCACTAGCCGTCGGGCGGGGCAAGGACGGCCTGCGTGATGAACTCAATATGAAGGGTACAGTGTGTTGGCGTTGTAGTCGCCAAATGATAGGGGAGGGGGGTTTCGAAGAGTAGGAAGTACTGAGTGCTGGTCGCGCTGATGCGTGTTGATGGTCGTCGCCGTTGAGACGGACTGGGTACGAAAGTGGTGACGTCAAATAAGTTGGACTATGAACTGATTAGACACGGGTGGCAAGCGACTGAGCCGACCACATGCTGCACCTCTGGACTCCTCCTTGCTGTTCCTGTGGCGAGTGTCACGCTCGTTTCCCATCCTCATCCCTTGTGCAGTCCTTATGACCCGTGCGAACGTGGCGAATGCGTATAGTGCGGAGGGATACGTCGAATACCCCGTACAGCACAGGCCGTCCGCTCTTGAACGGAGAAGCGAATTGGCACGGGTGTCGCGATCGTGCACATACCACGGCTACCGATCGGAAGGACGTAACGGTCGGCACGGCTACTTGAGATACCTGCAGAGGGTGAGTACGCTTACCGATCACTGGTACTCGGTCCGGCTGTATCGGAATGCACTTTGCAACTGCGACCAAAGATATGTACAATAGCTCGAAATGCCACTAGCCATGCATCGACTATGCGACAACCAGTCTACAACCTCCCATCACGACACCAACACGCTTAAGCGCGCGAAGCCATGCGGAAGTAGTCCTCGATGGGGCCCTTGGGCTTGAGGAACTGGACGTAGGCACCGTCGTTGACGACGAGCTTCTGGCGCTTGAGCTCCTCGTAGTCGGCGCGGTCGAGCGAGGTGAAACCCCACTTCTTGGAGATGATAATCTTCTGGCGACCGGGGAACTTGTAACGAGCACGGCGGAGGGCCTCGATGATGACGGCCTTGTGCTGGTCACGGCAACGGATGGACATGAGGATCTGGCCAATGTTGACACGGGCGACGGATCCGTAAGGCTTACCCCAAGCTCCACGCATACCCTGCTGCAGACGGTCTGCACCAGCGCACGAAAGCATCTTGTTGATACGGATGATGTGGAAGGGGTGGACACGGACACGAAGGTGGAACGCCTCCTTTCCGGCGTTCTTCACGATGTACTTGTTGGCACAAATACGGGCAGCCTCAAGAGCCTCGGAAGAGAGCTGCTCGTACTCGTCAGAGACGAGGTGGCAACAGAAGGGGAAGTCATCGACGGAAGCCTTCTTGCGACCAAGGTCGTAGATACGGATCTTGGGGTCGGGGACACCGCGGTTGTAGCGGGACTTGGGGAACGGCTTGTTCTTGCAGTAACGGTAGCAACGAGCGGGACGGCGACCCATCTTGACTGATAATGTTAGTGAACTGGGTGAAAGCCGAGGAAATGGTGGGTTGAGCAATCACAAGACCCGACAACGCTTATAAAGAAATGTCGGGAGGTCGAAAGGCCAGAAATTTCCGAACCTGTCGATGGTCGCACATGTACGCCGCACGTCTTCTCTCGGCTCCGGTTTCCTCTGCTCTCGACTCGCTCTCCCTGCAGACACCGCACGACAGATGATGACAGCAAGGCAGAGCAGTGGGGGTAAGACCCCGCACCACAGGCCTGCTTACCAATCTGCCCACAGATCCAGCCTTCCGTCCTTGCACTTCCAACTTCATCCCATGACTTCTGATCGTTCCGGCGTCGAGCTCGAATGGCCTCGCGGTGTCGTCGGCGGTGTCGGAAGCGTTGTCGGTCGTCGTGACTGTCGTGCTGTCGCTCACCTTTTTTACACGCGTTGAGGGTTGGGAGAAAGAGTGAGATGCTCTATGACTAACGACCTTGGGTGCAGCCCCCCGTCCCGCCGCTGCAGCGAATTGCTCCCGCCTTGGTGCTTGGTCAGAAGTTTGATGCGAGGGTCTGTTGCGGTGAATTCGGCGTTATTGCCAGTGGCGCATTACCAATATCGGATCCGAGTGGCAAACCCAAAAACGTGGATAACGGTTACGTAAATTATCGTCGGACATGGCCGTGAGGATGATGATCCAGGATTATCTGTAACCAGACAATCGACAGTGGACAGCTGCTGCAGCGTGGGTACGTCTATATGTATTCATTTCACATGTGCAGGAGGGATGGGTCTGCCTACATTTTAGTATTACACAGGTCGAATGATGATTGGGGTTCTACTTGTTTCTTGATTGAGCTATGCGATGAGCGACATGAATGCTGGGCTCGCTACGCCCTGGCCATCTCCGGGGTGCGGCCGATGCCCATGCCGACGCGGACGAGTGTCTCGAGCGCGGCGGCAGCGTTGTCCTGAAGATCCTGGTCCCAGACTACTCGTCCCGGCTCGAAGACGCAGACGATGGTGCTTCCACCAAACTTGAAGTAACCGAGCTCATCGCCGCGCTTGACCTCCTGGCCCTCCACGACCGAGTCGACGATGGAGCCGACCATCATGGCGCCGACCCAGACCGTCATCACCGTGCCGAACTGCGGGCTCTCGATGGGAACAATCTGACGGACGTTGTCACCGTAGACGTCGAGCTGCGTAAGAATGGCCTGCGGGTTCACGGTGTAGTACTCTCCCTCGATCTTCGTGATCTTGCCAATCTTGCCATCAACGGGCGAGTGGAAGCGGTGGTAGTCCTGCGGAGCAAGGCGGAAGATGCAGAGCGAGCCGCCGACGTAGTTCTGCCACTGCTCATGGTAGGCAGACCCAAGCATCTTGGCAATGGTAAAGTCACGGCCCTTGATCCAGATCTGCTGAGCCTCGGAAACAGTGTTGAAAGCCATCATGCGGCAGTCAGCCATGGAGACGAGGCGGTCCGGGTTGCCCGGGTCCTCGACCGGTCGCGCGTCCTCCTTCAGCTTGCGGTAGAAGAACTCATTGAACGTTTTGAACGAGTCCAGCGGGTCGCGGATCTCGTCCGTGTTCAGCCGGTGGAAGGCGATGAAGCCCGGAATGTCGGCAGCCGACTGGGGTGAGTCGTACCTGATGCCTTGCTTGATCGACAACGACTTGAGCATCCTGCGGGCGCGAGCTCCGGCAATACCAGTGCGCGGTCCCTTGTACAGGACACGGATACCGGTTCGGACGTAGACTGCCATCTTCTCCTCCTGCAGTTGACCAGTCATGCGATCCTGGACGAGGATGTTCGCCGAGTTGGCTCCGAGAGAGTACGAGCCAGCAGTGACCTTGTTCAGAAGCTTGGTCAGCTTCTTGCGCTGCGCCTGCGACGAAGTGACATAAGTCGAGGTCATGATGCGGTCGATGCGGGACCAGTCGCTCGATGCACACACAGCTAAGTGGGTGATCATGTCCTGCTCGCTACGCTTGCTGAGACGGGGGCGGTGGCAGAGCGGGCACTCCTTGATGTTGATGATGCGCTCGACGTAGTCGTTGGCGGGGTCCGAGTTTTCGTCGGCGTCAGACGCCATGGGGGAGCCCGCCTCCGTCGTGCCCTGGGGACTGGAGCTGTCATCGGTGTTCTCGACATTAAGATAGGGGATATTCGTGTTGGAAGCAGTGGAAATGTGTCGGCTGTGGGAGTTGTAGGTGGAGGGAGGTGCGGTGCCCTGAGAGTGGTGAACGGACGGAGTAGCACTGCCGGGAGTGCTTTGAGGCATCGATTTCAGTCTAGCGTCGAGGTCATGGGCGTCGACCTCGACGGATGCATTCGGCTTGCCGATGGTACGCTTCGCCGAGCTCGACTTGGTGACCTCGTCCTCCAGGCTCTGCACGACCTCATCGAAAGTGAGCTCGTCCTTCTCCGGCGACTTGCCGAAGCGGGTGAAGTAGCTCTCCAGCGTCTGGGGAGTGAGGGTGGAACCGAGCGAGTCGAGCATGGAAGTCATCTCGACCCAAGACATGCTGCCCGTGTCGTCCGCGTCGTACTGCATAGCGTACTGGCGCCAGAAGCGCTGGCGCAGAGCACCGTACGGTTCGTACTTCGCGCGAACAGTCAAGGCGGGCTTGTGCTTGAGCTCCCATGCCACCGATTTGTTAGTCACGATGGGCAGAGTGAACTCTCGGGATTCGTGCTTGCCATCGACACCTTCCCCATACAGTCCAGTAACCGGGTCCGGGCTCGGGGCGTCGGCAATGAGCTCAGCGAGCGGCAGCGTCGCTGATCCGATGTGGTCGTTCCCGGAAATCTTGTCCCAGTCCAGTAGGGTCATCTGGATGGTGAAGTTCTCCTCGTGCTCGTGGACGTGGAACAGCAGCTTCTCGTCCCAGTTAGGATTGAGGGAGTGCCGGATGACACGGGTTCGGAAGACCTTCTTGCCGAAAGAGATTACCACGAAGGGATCCATGTCCCATCCGACGCGGAGGGCATTTTTCAGACGAGGGAGGTCAGAAGCACTCTGGACCTCCATGACGACGATGCCAAGAATGTTGTGGTCGTGGCCGAAGTTGTAGTCCTTTGATTTGCCCTTCTTGCGTCCGAGGCGCGACCGGCGGAAGATCTTGCGCGATTTGCCGCTTGGCGGGGCTGCCTCGGCAACAGACTGTAACGAAGCTGCGCTCGATCGGCGGCTGCCAAGGTCATCGACCCCAGGCATGATGGGCGGAAGGGATAGGGGCTCACTCTGCGGGACACCGTCCGCTTCAGGTGAGTCAGTTGGAAGTCCGTCGCGCAGCCACCCGTCATCGTCGCCCTCAAGGGCATCCTCCATGTCGCCGTCTTCGTCAGAGCTGGAGAGGCCGTCGTCCGGAAGGTCGTAGCTGTACTGGCGGGAGTACGATTGCTGAGCACCCACGCTAGGGGCCATCACGGCAGTAGTAATGACGCTCATGCCGGTGGAGGTGTCCAGGAAGTCATCCCCGTCCGTCTGGGAGCGAGTGAGCTGGACGGTGCCGATGCCCTCGTGCGCAGGCACACCAAGAACACCGAACTGGCCGCCGACGAGCGTTCGCGCAAGGATGGTCTCGTAAACGCCCTGGACCTTGCGCAGCGCATCCTGCGTGTCCTCTGCCGGACCGGGGAGGAAGCCGATCTGGAGCTGCACATTGCCGGAAACCCTGTGCTTGCGACGCGATGAGAAGAGCTCAAAGGACTGGACCTGCAAAATGTCAGCGGCTACGCCAGAGTTAACCGAACTCACGGGCAGCTGCTCGTGCCAAAGACGGGGCTGTGCTGAAGGGAACCAGTGATCGACGGGCACGCACAGCTCGCCCATGTACTCCTTTCGCACCAAATCCTATGCAAGTCAGCAAGCTTCTGTGACCGGCGCGACGCACCTTGTCCCAGACAACGCCCTCGAGGCCACGCCCCCCGATGACTGCGGCGAGCGACAGGTAGATGGGGAAGTCGAAGGTGCTCTGCGCTGCCGGGAACACAGGGTCGAGGGAACGCTTCACGACTGGCGTCGTGTGGCGCGAGCCCGGAGGAACGAGGAGGGTGACGAAGCTGCGGTGTGTCAGATCGATCATAGATTGCGGCGGTATGCACTCACGGATCGCTCAGGCCGTTGCGATCCTTGGCCACGAGGCCGTCGGCACTGACTACGCGGACACGGAGCCAGGCAGCCGGCTCTTCCCCGTCGAGAGGCTTGCGAGGGCCCTTCGCGGCTTGCGCGATCATGACAGGGTCCACAAGCATATTGTCCTTCTTCCGGCCGCGCCAGTTCTTGTCGTTGATGGAGATCTGAGGGTCGAGACCCCCAGTACCGTTGCTAGAGGCTGAGGTTGAGGTGACACTGCGGTTCACCTTGGTACTGCCGTCGCTGACGTTCAAACCTGCCAGCTCGTCCTCGAGGCCGACGGCCGACTGCCCACTGTTCGGGGTGGCCAAGCCTGATCGCACCGAGTGATATGCACTGGCGGCAAGCTTGAGCGGCTTGAGCGGCTTCTTTGCAAGCTTTCGTAGCCGGGGGTTTGACTTCTGGCCATACGGCGTGGCCTCGAGGGGAGCAGTGGAGGGCGGTTGAGCCATGGTGGAGTCCACGGCAGGGAGGGGGAGGGAGGAAGGCGGTGTTGATGTTTATGGGATGTGTTGATATCGTATGCGTGTATAGTCGATGAATGTGCAGAGAGTGATGGGGGGGAGGGGAATGAGAGACGATGCGAAGATGTATGATGCGAGGTGTTGAGGTGACGGTTAGAACAATCAACGTCAGGTCGAGTGTAGCCGACCGGCGGTGCTGCAGCGGTGAGTGAGGGCCAGCCTCGACGAGCTGCGTCACGGGTAGCCAGGACAGGAGCGAGCCCGTGATGCACGCGCAGGCTCATGCAGGCTCATGCAGGCTCCTCCCAAGTGTCCAGGTACGGTGTGTGCTCAGGGTGCCAGGTATGGCCAGGGACGCCGCCTGGTGCTGCCAGGCTATAATTATAGTCGGCTCCGAGTGCGCTGGCTCGTTTGCCTGGGTAGCCGGTCTCGCCGGACCGGGGGCCGGCCGCGCCGCCCCGCCCCTGATGATTCAGAACACCTAGCGCGCGCCGTGGAAGCAGTGTTTAGCGCTTCATGCATGCCTTTGCCCGTTCCAGACTTGCGGTCAGAGATCTGCATCTCTCCACGACGCGTAAGGGCGTAGCACCGCCGCTCCGCTCCGCACAGCCCATCGCATGATCGCATCCTGGCGCCGCTGTCCAGTGATCCCATGCCCGCCGTCCGCAGCATAGCAGGAGTGGCAGGTCACAGGACGCAAGGCACACGTGGTGGAACGTAAGGAAGCCTAATCGCCCCCGTTCGGCTCAGCTCACTCCTGCTTCACTCCTCGTCATCGCCGCCCGGACTTGCCCCATCAGTCATGCATGGCGGCCTGGTCCCTCGGCTGCGGACCTGCGGGCCTGCGCGTCTGCGGGCTTGTCAGACCCTGCCCGTCCCATCATTGTTCCTTCTGTGCGAGCTCTGCACAGGGTGGCGGCCGTGGCGGTACGTGATCATCCTCGGAAACTCTAATCCCTCTTATCGGGACCGCCGTCCGTTCCTGTCTTCACCTTCAGAGATCACAGACCGAGCAAGGTCACACGCGTGGCACTAATCGTAACGCGGCAACGGCAAAAGTCAGGCGCCATGACAAGATTCGAACAGCCGAGGAAAGCGCTCCCATATCAAAGACCGGCGGCTGACGCCCTGACACCTTCCTTCCCTCGCTTGATGAGCTGCCGCCTCGATCGTGACGGAATGCGGCACCGTCCTCGGCCTCCGGGGAGGCCGTGTCCACCGTGGCTACACAATAGCATCACTTCTCGTTCTACACAAAGGATAGCTGAGACAGGGACAGGCAGGCTGAAAGATTCGTTGTGTGTTTGCGTTTTGCGTTACGGGCGTTTCGAACACAGCGAGCAGAGAGCAGTGATAGAGGTGATAGTACAGGTTTATAGATGGCAACAGAGTGCGTCGTGGGGACGCAACCTTCGTGTACGAGATACTGGGCTTGGTCGGACTAGTTGACCAGCTGGTCGGCGCCGGGAACGAGCACGACCATGTCGACAGTGACCATGTTGAGGTCGTCTATGGTCAGCTCCAAAGAGGCGGAAGAACTCACAGGCGACGTAGTCTTGAAGCCATTCCTTGTCAGGGTCGTCGTTGCCGACGTACCGCCTGTAATTAGTGATGCATATTCGTCTGAGCGCATTACCAGGCCACTGCAGTGTCAGCTAGTTGTCAAGCAATGCAGCTCACTCTGTTCAATCATGGTGCCATTGGGCTGAAGATCAGCTCGCCACCCGAAAGTTACACCTCACCAAATGGAAGTCATAGAACTTTGCAAGTCAGTACTTGCTCGATGGATGAGGTGCCCTTACCCTAAAATCACTGTTTGTCAGTTCAGCCCTGCGGAGTGACTCACTCGATGGGTCCATAGCGAGACGGGGTAAACATATGGAGCGTATCGGCGCGGCGGCCGGGTTCGGGGAAGTACCACACTGTGCGATGAGTTCATCTGCACCACCGCGCCACACTCACTGCCTTCCAGCCAGATACACTCGGAGTGCATGCAGGAGTGGAGGAGGTATTGCCTGCTCGTGTCAGTCTGTCAACACGGAACGCCACCGGCCGGTCATTGATCCAGTGGCGCAAGGCTGCCGTTGCGGCGCCGCCAGGTCCGCAAGCCGCTCTCCGGTCGCTCGAGGCACACTCGCAGTCGGCTCGCACGTCCATACGGCCTGGAGGTGTACACCAAATGACCATTCCTTGACCGTAGACCGTCGCAGCCTCCAGATCAACACACCACACTCTTGCCCACTCACTGGTAGTAGAGGTCCCAGCGCTCGGGGAAGCGGCCAATTTCGGACATGTCTTGCGCCCGAGAAATACGAGGAATAGAGGAAGGTTCACTTCAACAGTAAGCGCGAGAGGAAACTTTACAGGAGAGTGAGAGAAACTGGGTGTGCAAACTGTGTCGTTGCTGGGGACGTCGTGTGTGATGCAGGCGTGCGAACGCTTCCAGCGATGCTGTCGAGGGAGCTTCGAGGGGCTGTCGAAGGGCGGGGCGAAGTCGAAGCGCCCGTTATATCGCGCCCGTTATATCAAACCTCGTCTGCCAGTCGACGTCACTGTGCACCACCGTGGGCGTTCGGAGTTGTCGCTCTGGTACGATAACATGGGCAGGAGAGACGGTGACAGCGGCGACGTCGTGATTGATGGCTAAAGGCGCAGTGTAGGGCGTGGGCGTTGACTGCCATCAAGGCGGATTCACGGAAGTCAACGCGCGAAGTTCGAGCAGCGCAGCGAGGTGGGCAGGCGCAAGGCGTACTGGAGCGATAGCGATAGAGATCGAAGACAGTCACAGGAGCAAGAATTTGGTGTTAGAGCACAGATTCTTATCCCGGGTACATAAGGTGTTGCGTCTGTCCAGTTGGGACATGATGGCCGCCTTGATGGTGGGCAGACGACACGCATTGATTGTGTGCGTCATACATCGCTCGCACCCCATACACACACCACGCAACACCTCTGTCTCGCCTTGCTCGTGACGGAGGGTTGCTTGGCCGAAAGACATAAAAGCGTACCGGGTGCCGTGTGGGATGCCGTAGAGATAGACACCGTAGGTTTCGGATGGGATAGAAACTTACCGAGGGGATCCGTAGGACCCCATCATGTCAATGAGCTCCATGGCGTCGGTCGGCGCGGCGAGCTGCGCGCCGAGGCGCCACCAGGAAGGAACTGGGCTGCTACCTCCGTTCATCACTGCGGGTCCTCCCTTCCCGAAACGCTTAGGCCGGCGGTGGGAAAACAGCAGCCTTTGACCTCGCCAGTCCGACCGCGGCGGTGCGCGAGCGCGAGCTTCGGGTTGTGTGGAGCACTGATGGGGCCGGCTTCCTCACAGACGAGTGCAACGACGTGTAAGGGTGTGGCTCGGGGTGGCTGGGGCCAGGGTGCGAGTCGCAAGCCTGGACTGTCAGTCTGCGCTGGGGTGTTGGTGTACGAGGGCGGTCGTGATGTGCCGTCGGGAGGGCGAGGGCGCGCTGGACGAGGGCGACACTGGTGGCGAAAGGAAGGGCATGAGCGAGGCGTCATCACCATCGACCGACAAAGATATGGCGTTGCTGTTTTGACGTCGAGACACAGAAAATGGTGTCTAGAGTCACTGAGAGGAGAGAGAACGTAGACCAACGGATGCGTCCCCACTTTGCAAGCTCACACGCCGTCAGCACCACGCAGCACACAGTGCGGTACTAGGGGGGCCAGCTGCGGGGGCACGCGGTCCAGCGGAAAGGAGGAGCAATCATTTGGACCCAGACCCGCAAGGAATGCGGAAACTGCGTTGCGGGTCGCCGCCCCGCACTCAGGCGCAGGGCGCGAGTCGGGCGCAAGAAGATACACCAACTTCGACGGATCACACATCACACAAGGGGGCCAGAATGTTGAGGCCTTAATAAAGCTCAGCCGCAGCTTGCGCAAGCGTTGCAAGCGTTGCAAGCGTTGCTGTCAGCCTGCCAGCAGTCACCAGTCGGGGCCTGTATTGTGATCTGTGAGTGGAGGAGGATGTGGCCTTGAGCCTACTTGAGTCCTGACTTTGAAATTGGTCGGGCAGCGAGCTTGCAGTGATAGCCGACGGGGCGATCAAGGCGGAACACAGCACGATGCCCATGGTCCGATAGCTGATAGCCCATAGCCCACCTCGTGATTCCAGATCTCACGCAGCGAGCAAGGGGTTTGCCTTCAAAGGACGACAGATCATCGTGTTCCATCAGTGATCGGTGAGCATCATTTCCACATGCGCGTGCAGGGCTCAGGACTCTTCGGGCCCTCGCTAGGGGCTGTCAGACACAGAAACAGCTGAGTCATGACTCATTAACGCCATGCGATCTTATACGACCTGCAAGTGGGCGGAGGCGATCATGCACCGCGTGCGCAGTGTTGCGACAGCTTGTCACAGGTGGGCACTACCAGTCACCTGGTACAGCTTATCTCGGACTTCGTCGACGGTAGAAGCTGCCACTCACACACCACGGCATTGCTTTCGGATGTCTTTGATGTATGCAGCTCCCTAGTTCTCAGGTTTCGATACCGGCCTCGTGGGTAACTTGATGGCAGGGTTCGGTATTCAGGAATGATGCTGTTGTCAGGACGATCTGCAGAAGATTGTCGACGGCCTGGACGGTCAAGTGGTCACTCCGAGGTTAGTCGATAACAGGGGTGGGCGCGACGGGATAGCTCATTGTCTTGGAGTGAGGGGCCTGTGAGACTGTGCGTTTCGTATGGATGACTGTGAAGTGTGAAGTCAACAGAGTTCCGCACCCTGGCTGAGTTGTTGCTGGATTGGTCGCGAGGGCAGGCTGGGAATGACGTACATGGCTGGGCGAACCTCCGCTGGATGTTGTAAGCCGAGAGCCTTCCCTCCGATCACTTCCCACTGTCCTTTCCTCTGCCTTCCTTCAACACTCACAGCTACCATGTCTATTCGCATCAAAACGCCTTCCAACATCAAGGTTACCTCGGCTGCGGTCGAGGAGGAGATGGTCTCGCCCGGCGGCACCAACAACAATGTCACCACCTACGACCTGTCCGCCCTCGGTCCTCGCGGCGGTGACCCTCAGCTCACCGTCAAGTACGAGGCGAACGGCCAGTCTGGCGTCGTCAACGTTCCGCTTGCCCCCATGCCTGGAGACCGAAACCGCGGCTGGCAGCAGCTCCCGGGTATCACGGGCGTCCTTATCTACCAAATCTGCACCAACGATGAGAACTCGAACACCCTTGTCTTCCTCAACGAGGCTAGCCCGACCGACTACATGAAGGACCTCGACGACAACCTCGGTCTCAACGAGATTGCTCTTGCTGGAACCCACGAGAGCTGTGCTCTTCACGGAAGTGAGTTTCACAAAACTGCTCGCGCGAAACTGACAGTCAGTGTGGATGTCCCAGTGCCAGACGTGCGGACCGCAGGAGCAGCTCAAGGCTGGTGTGCGCTGGTTCGACCTCAGGCTGAAGCACCGGGACGGCGAGCTCCAGAGTACGTGTTAAGCTTATCGGGAGGCAGTCACCTAACGTTCCAGCGTACCACGGCATGCGCCCCGAGTACGGCACGCTGAAGGAGTGGACCGACGCTTTCTACGCCTTCCTCAAGGACCACCCGACGGAGACCCTGGTTTTCTCATTGAAGCAGGAGCAGGAGAACGACCCCGAGTTTGCGAACGCGATCTACAACTGCCTGATGCAGTACGACAACGGAGAGCGCTGGTGCTGGTCCGAGGGTGTGCCCCGCCTCGGCGATGTGCGCGGCAAGGGCGTCCTTTTCACCCGTTACGGCTCGCAGTACCCGAAGGGCCAGGGTATCCACCCGACGAGCTGGCCGAACGACAACCCGGACGGCTTCACGGCTGACCTCCTCAACGGCGCGGGCAAGATCAAGATCCACGATTGGTACGGGCTCGACTCGCCGTCGCAGATTGGCGAGAAGGCGAACAAGATCTTCACCCTCCTCGACACCACGACCGGCGCCGTGCCCAAGGACGAGCTCACCCTCGTCTACACCAATGGCTCCAAGTTCCCTGGCGCGCCGCCCCAGTGGATCGCCAAGGGTGTCGGAGCCCCGACCTTTGGCCTTGGTATCGGCGGCATGAACCCCAGGCTCGCCAACTACATCCTGAACAAGATCAAGGACGGCCAGAGGGTCAAGGCCGGCATCATGGTCGACTACTACCAGTATACTGGTTCTGGTGAGAACGGCCTCCCCGCTCTCATCAACGCCTCCAACTTTGCGTAAAAAGACAGCTGTGAGATATAGCACGAGCACACGATCTGTAGCAGTTTTCAGCATGAATTCTAAATGCCAATGTCGTTGCGACCCGTTTGGTACTGCCTTGGTCTACTTTTGCATCATCTATCTAGAACCGATGTTGCACTTAGTGGTGCTGGGCCTTGACGATGCCAGCGGCGTAGGGGTTGCGGGGGTCCTTGAGGGCCTCGGGGGCTGTCATGTTAGTTGAGTCCGGGTTGGTTCAGTCGCAGGTGGGAGTGTAGCAAAGGTCATCGGAGGACTTTCCGCCCGGTCCGGTAACCGGGCCAGAACGCTCGCACGTCTGCGTCACACTACCACACTCCTGATCCACTCACAAGAGACACCCATGTCCTGCATCTTGGCGACACCCCAGACGGTGACGACCGAGGCGAAGAAGAAGGGAGCGAGGGGCTTGGCGAACTGGAGAGGGCGACCGATCGTCCAACAAACATCCGAGCGCGTTCAGACCCGACACAAGATCACAGGTGTCGATAGTGATAACGGCGGTAATCCGGCATTCAGAGCATCACAGTTCGTGTGGGTGTGTCGGCGAGCCGAGCGAGAGAGCAAGAGAGTGTGCGGAGGAAAGTCGTGTCACAGTTCCGATCGATCCGTCGATTCGTCATAATCCCAGTTCCAACCAACACAAACATCAACCATTCGAGCGTCGCCAATCGTTCCAGATCCAGCCCAGATCACAAGTGCATTGTTCCGAGCCCGCCGAGAGTCGTTTGCATCAAGAATGTCGCACGGAATGACATAGCCGAGGTGGTCACAGGTTCGCGTTCGTCAAGTTCGAGATTCGCACGAAGTCGTCGTTCAGAAGCAGTTCGGGCCGTAGAGTTTCGCAAGAAGAGAGCCTCAGTCAGCATTTCCGTCGCGCGGCGCTCGGCGGCAGACGTACGGGAGTGGGCCACTTGCGGAGACCGAACATTTTAGCAGAGTTGGGGGTGGTGGAGAGCGATGCTGGCGCTGTTGCTCGCTTCGATGCCAGCACCAGGCTGCAGACGCACGTACGGATCGGAGCGGACCCTTCCTGGGCCTAAAACTCCGGTGGGGCGAGTGTGGCACTCGCCATCACGCGATAACCACGTGTCCCTTAGTGGTACGGTGAGGAACCGGCATTGCCTACGCTCTCTCCGCATGCATAGAAGAAACAGGTAATCTTGCATATTCATAAGGTAGTGGTACAGAAAGGAGCAACAGATGGGTAATGAGGAAAACAGTCTAATGTTGGGAACGAGAGTGCGACAGGCCGACACCCATCGACTGCCGCGCCTGGTCGCTGATCGGCTCGATCTTGGGGAACGGCATGCTCGGCGTGGAGGTGTCCAGGCGATAGACAGTGAGCGGCATGCCGGGCTCGTCACGATCAGTCATATTGATCGCGCCGACATACTTGTAGTTCGAGTGGTACGTCACAAGCTTCATGATGGTAACCTGGATACACCGCGCCGAGATCAGTGCCGAGGCGTTATGCGCCGTCCCTGCGATACGTCAGCAGAGAGCCCCAAACGGAATGGAAGAGCCCGGCCAGCGGCTGAGACATGCGGGTACTTACATGGGTTGTTCCTCAGCCGCAGTTCTCGGCAGTGCCTCTCGCGGACACGGGCGTCACGCACGCCGTCCACCCACGTCGCCTTGATGCCGTCCTCGAGCGCCTGACCCACGTCCGCCTCGGCGTCAATGATCCAGATGCGATCTGATCCGTAGAACGCGACGCCCATGAAGACTGGGTCGGGATCGGGCGTGCAGGTGTTGAACATGAGAGTGTCCTTGCCCGTGTCCTTGATGGTCGCTGTAAACGAGGAAGCCAGCTCATACCCGCACTTCGCGAACGCAGTCATCAGATACAGGATGATGCGTTTCGATCTGTTCGTCAGCTTCCAAGGCCTGCGGGCAGCTTGCAGACAACACGTACGCAACCTTGTCTTCGCTCTTCGGCATCCAGCAGTTGTCCTTCATAGTGACCTCCCACACTCCGCCATCGCAGCCCTTCTTCTTGTGCCACTGCATCAGCTCCGGAGCGTACTCCACGCTGTTTGTCGATTTGATGCCCCGCTTCCAAGCCCGATTGATCGCGTCCAGGACCAGCGGCCGCATGGTGACTGGCAGAGCGATGAAGCTGAGTGTCGAGGTGGAGGAGAGCGTCATGGAAAAGAACGGAAAGCGGTTCTGCTCCGTGCTCTCTGGTAGCGGACACATGCCTGCGGTCGAAGAGATGGACGTGCCAGGGGTGGAGCTGCGCGTCCGCGGGCTGGGAGGCTCGTCCACCGACCACACAGAGTCCTTGGTGTCGAATCGCTGGAAATCTCGCGACAAAGAGTCAACGGACAAGGCACTAGAGTCGTGACGCAGCGAACGGCGAGTATCCGTGGTCGTCGTCGGGCTCAGGCTGGGGCTCTTGAGGATGGACTGCGGCGGCGTGTCATCGTGGGGAACGACCAGCACTGGCGGTGTCGGAGGCTGGTCGTAGGAGGACTTGACACGTCGATGCCCAAACTTGGGAAGCGGCATGTCGGGCGGCGGTGCGAACGGCGGGCTAAATGCGAGGTCGATTGGGTCGTATGCAGCAACGCGAGCGTTCAATAAGTAGCCGAAGCGGGAGGCAAGTGTCGTAGATTAGAGGTAGATGAAGAGTGAGTGATGAGCAAGTGTTGAAAACGGAGATAAGAGCGGAGAAGGGTGGTTGTTGACAATCCGCGATCCGTTAACCGCGATATGGTGATAGCGAGGAGATCTCTGGCAAAGGGTCATGAGGACAGGCGCGGAGAAAACTATAACCGAGTTTGAATCGATCAAACGGGGAATAACCCCTTGCCCCTTCTTTCACATTGTCACAGATGTGCTCCGCATGGCGTGCACTGCGTATTGCGTGCAGGCATGCATATGCTTGTAACGCAGTCCGAAACGTCCAAAAGCTGCGGGAGTCGTCCGCAGATGTTCCCGCTGAGGATCAGAAGGTCAAGGCGCAGAATGCCAAGAACATCGCTGATCTGAATGCTCCCTGATGGACAACCTCCACCATCCACCAGTTGGTTGTCACCAGTCACAGTGCAAGGTTTCGCAAGACCGTGCATGCCGTTTCAGGTGTCATCAAGCACTTCATGGTGATGTCAACCACGCCGCTAGTCGCGTGAAGCTGTGCTCTCGTGGAGGCGTGCGATGGTTGATTTTGTGCATGGTCATGTGCCATGCAATGTCACGCTGCACGCTGTCAGCAGCGATCCCTCCATTCTCGAGGAACCAGCACCCGCGATCTATCTAAGTGCCAGTGCTCTTCAAGAGACGGCGGATAATACTGGCCATGCCGCTTACTGCAACTGGGCGGTCATCTGGAGCACCTGCGAAGAGTTATTGTGTGGTTGCCAAGGGGGCCACAAGGACTTCTCAAGCCGCGCACTGAGGGGCTAATGTTGCTGAACTTGCTTCGCGCTACGCATGCCCGCAGCTGAAGAAGCAGCTGCTGATCTCGCTGCGCCGTGGCAATGGTTATGACGTTTGCCCCGTGCCGTCTAGTCGTCGCCGAAGTACCGAAACCTGGGACATCTGCGGTTAGGACGCAGCAGGCCCCACTTGTGTGTTCTGAGTCGGCTTCGCAGGCATTTCTCAGCAGCTCGCTTCACCTGAGCGCTTCTCAATCCTCCTCTCCCAAGCGCCCAAGCTTCGCACACTTCCCCTTGCGCGATGTCAGTGAGATCAGTTTGAGCCCGTAGGTCCCCTCCAAGACGTCCTCTCTCCGCCGATTTACTATGTTTATGCATACACTAAGCCGCGGGCGCTCTCGGTCCGTGCTGCTGGTGTCCACCTCGTCCACGTCCTCCCGGTCCACCACGACCACGAGGGGGTCCTCCTCGGGGCGGTCCTCCACGACCTCCTGCACATTAGCTTGGCGTGGTGGGTGAACTTACCTCGGGCGCCCATGTTTCCTCCGCGTCCACCTGCATGTCAGCTGCTGTTGGAAAGAAACCCGCGAAAGCATACCCCTGTTTCCCTGGCGCTGGCGCTGCATCTGCAGTTGCTTCTGCTCCTCGGCAGCCTGGTCGAGTACTGAGTCGGCAATGCGGAAGTACTTGATCTGGAGGTCAGCTAGTCCTTAGACGTAGACCAGCTTGAAGGTAGGACTGATGTAGACGCGGCCAGACCAGCCCCCCTATCAATGCGGACACCCTCTACTCACGACATTGCCCTTGATGAACATCTCCTTCATCTTCCAGAACTTCTCTCCATCGGCACTCGTCTGGTACACTTCGCGCAGCGTGACGTTCATGAAGTGGTCGCAGTCGACCAGGTGGCCGTTGAAGGTAACGCCATTCTTGAGCTCGACAAGCTGTAGACACGAATTGAGTGAAGAGGTACAGAATCCAGTAGGTATGCGATAGTATCGAAGGGCATAGAGTCAAGAGTGTCGTGTTTATGAAGCACGGTCATGTCAGATGCGGAAAGTGATGTCAGTCTCGAACGCGTCGTCCAAGGCGGCTGCGAACGTACCATCGGCTTGCCTTGAGCGGCGGAAAGAAGGGCGAGAGGCAACTAGCCTGTCAGTTCGACTACTAGCAGTGGAACTTACCATGATGTTATCCTCCGATGTCTAGTAGCAGGATGCGGTACAACAGCTCTCTCAGTTTGTTGTCGTGACGATTGTGTAGGACCTGGTCATGATCGAGGTCGAGGACGCAATTGGTCCCGTGACTTTTCACGTGGCACCGCCGGCTATCGAGAGCTTCGTCATTGCCACCCCGCAGGCCACAGACCATCTTTGGCTCGATAATTAGCGACAACATTCCGTTTCGTGTCGTCGTTGACGTTTTACATGATAACTAGAGCATACAGATAAATTTACTAGAAACTAGAAGCCATGAGCTGCGCAGACGACCTTACAGTCGACGACCTGAACGCCAACGTTACCTCCGAGGTCCTCGAGCGCGTCTCGGCAGGCGAAGGCAGCAACTCGAACCTTTGGGGCTCGATTGACCGTGACAAGTGAGTTGTACGATAAGTGCTGTAACTGACTGCCAGCGTGAATGGCGTCAATCTTGTGGACCCAGAGTCCGCCCCGAAAGTGATAAAGACGTGGGACGACCGCTTGGACGAGGAGCAGTACATCGAGTCTGGCGTAGATGATGAGGTGAGTCGAGTCTGACGCGTATAGCTGACGTCGCAGCTCATTCTGCACATTCCGTTCATCACGAGTGTCCGACTCCGAACACTTCTACTTCACCTGCCATCCCCCGGCCACCCTCACCGACCACACCGTCTGCGTATCTTCTGCAACCTCCCGAACGCGCCGGACTTTAACGATGTCGAGTCGATGAACCCGATCATGGACCTGGACGTGTCGGATTCGCCGATCCGGAGAGACTCAGCGGGACGAAGAGAGGTGGACGAGTGGGCCCTGAAGGTGCAGAAGATGGCGAACGTCTTCAGCGTCACTCTCCTGTTCGTGAGTGCAGCTGCTGCTCCCTTGCCTAGCTAACAACAGTCGGATGCTGAGACCGGACAACGGTCCAAGGTGTACTACGTCGGTTTCAAGGGCGACGCGAAGCAGCTGAACATGGACATGTCCAAGCTCGGACAGGTACCAGCGTCCAACGCTGCGGAGCACAACGTCGATGCCGTCGCGGAAAAGAAGGGGGCCGGCTACACGACGATCCGGTAGTTGTACTATATTGTATACCGCTAGAGATACGACTTTATGATGTCTATTGATCTACTAGATCTACTCGTTCTTGAGCGCGGCGAGCTTCTTGATACCCTCGATGCCCTCAATGCGCTCCTTGGTCCACTCGTCCTGCGGGATCGAGCCGAGGCGCTTCTCGTAGAAGTCTTTCGAGGGGGTGTTCCACTGATGTTAGTTCTACAGATTAAGAGTCAACTCACGTTAAGGACGCTCCACTCGACACGCTCGCATCCCCGCTCCAGGGCGACCTCGCCGAGGTAGCCAAAGAGACGCTTGCCGAGACCGCTGCCACGGTGCTCAGGCTTGACGTACAGGTCCTCGAGCTGCTCGTTAGTTCTGCGTGGGCTGTCATTAGCTTACGTAGATACCGGGAACACCGAGCCAAGTCGAGTAGCTGAAGAAGTACTGGGTATGGTTAGCTGGCGGCTGTGGTGATATCACCCACCAGGCAGAGTCCGACGGCCTCGCCATCATGAGTGCGGGCAACGAACGCCTTGGCGTACTCGTTCTTGAACATGGCGTCCTTCATCTGGAACAGTCAGTCGATCACAGCCATGCAATAACGAACCATCTCCGGGGTAGCCTTGACCGCGTCCGGCTCCTTCTCGTAGACGGCCTTTCGGTTAGCTTGGTTGACCGATCGGGTGGGCGTTAACGTACCAGCTCGTGAATGAGGCCGAGCATGTCGGGCTGCGTGCATTAGCTTGACACTAGACCCAGAAACCTCACGATGTCGGCCTCGACAGCGGGCTTGATGATGTACTTGTCAGCGGCAGACATTTTTGTGGAATGATGGCAGAAACGGAAATCAGTTACACGACCGGTCTGTTGACAGGGACCCGAAGTACTGGGCTGCGATAAACCGGCAGCACGTGGCGGTATACGACGTATTGTAATGGGCCTCCACCGCCGCCCACCTCCGCCCTCCACAGTGCCCCAACATGAGAGTGCAGAGCAGGTGAAACTTGGATGACTGTGCCATCACTTCAGAGATCACGAACGGGAGACAATGTGGAAAGATGTCAAGCTGTTCGTCCTTTACGTACGGGAGACTCCGGGCGGAGCGCTGGGGCCGGAGCGGACTTGTGCGCAGATGATGCGCGCTCGCCCAAATGCGGCAATCAACAGGGGCCCCCGCCACACACCCACGCCTGCCGAAACGCCGTGACCGACTCGTGGTGAGTGTCTCCACCCCGCGATTACGAGCACCGTTATGCGGATCAGCCGGCCTTCATAGCACTCCTCAGCTTCAACATCGACGAGCAGCAACGAAAATGTCGGGCCCAGCAACCGGAGCCGCCGCGTCCCACGCCGCCACCAAGGCCGCCAGCAAGTGGCAGCAGTTCATGAACCACCCCGCCGGTCCCAAGTGAGTCGAAACGGGCAGCAGACAGGGACAGTTCGCACGATCCGACTTGCGAGCTCCGCACGCGAATATGGAGCCTCCGCGAGTCTTGAAGCAAGATGGAAGAGCGCATCAGGAGGGACTTGATCAAGGTCTACGCGACTGTGCTTGTGCTGAACGATGGTGTACGTGAACGTTGTGCTGACGCCGAACCTCGCATTCCCCGACCGCAACTCCGATCATCTTCCCCATGTGTCTCACGAACTCCGGTCTCGATTCCGCGCCGTTATGACTTGCCGAACGCAGGACCATCTTCTTCTGGGCCCCCATGGCCAAGTGGGCGCTCGTTATTGCCGGTCTCAAGGACCTGCAGCGCCCCGCTGACAAGCTCTCGCTCAACCAGAACCTGGCTCTCGCCGCCACCGGCTTCATCTGGGTAGGTGTCGAACGCGACTGAGAGAGGATGTGCTGCAGCTGCTGGACTGGAACAGGACTTGCTGTTGTGGACCAGAGCGTCTCCATCTTCCCCCTCGCCAGCTACTATGTCCCGGTATCTAGCTAATCCTTACAGGTCCGCTACTCGCTGATCATCACCCCGGTGAACTACTCGCTCGCGGCCGTCAACTTCTTCGTCGGATCAACCGGTCTCCTCCAGCTCTACCGTATCTGGGACTACAGGAAGAACCACCCGGAGGCCAAGAAGGCCTAATCGGCGCAACCGGCGCCGACGCAGTCTCAATCCACCGTCCATCGTCACGACACCTAGACCGTGTGTTGCTTTAGTTTTATATGTATTAGGGATGCATAGAGTTGTTCTCGTGTACGAATACGTGTGCATGTCTGTGTGCACAGGCCGCTGCCTCCTATGTCAGAAGGGCTGGGGTTGTCACCGTGTCTCGACATCTGCCCAGAAATCTGGACGCGCCAGGGCGGGTGAACGTGCTCCGCTCGGCGGGTAAACCAAGGGTGGCTGAGGTATCCAGATTGCTGATTGCAACGGCGTGAAACGACTGCAGCAGCCGCGGCCGACAAGCATGCCGACGGAAGACGCAGGTAGTGCCGATTGCATACTTTCACTGTGCTGTCTGCCTAGTATCATGAGCTGTGGAGTGATAACCTGTGGCGGAGGATACGGTCCGATGAGGATTGTGAAACCTGGCTTCGCTCCCCACCACCACGCCGTCCGTGTGCTGATGTTAGCACACATCGTGCTTGTGTACGGGAGGAACGGGAACGAAGCGATGCATAAACATGATCGTGAGCGAACGATCATATGAGGAGCGAAGTGACGGCGCGTCACGTGACGGAGGCCGGGAGCGGAAGCACGTGGTGTGGTTCCGACACCCCCCCGGGCCTGCGGCAAAGACAGCGCGTGGCTAGCTACAGAGGAGAAGGGAGAAGTTATGGTACAGATATTTGTCGATACAATGGTCATGGGGACGAGGCGGAGCTTGGGGATGAGAGCTTCTCGAGCTCATCGATGGGGCCGATGCGAAGGCGCTTGCGATGCATGTCGTGCAGCTGCGGTGAGAGGGGCTTCGTGAAGAGGTCGGCGATCTGGTCCTTGGTGCTGATTTGTTGCACTTTGAGCTTCCCTGATCGCACGAACTGCTTGAGGAAGTGATATGCCACGTCGATGTGGCGGGCAGCACGGCTTATCTTGCCGTTGGTGGCCATGCAGACAGCGGAGTTGTTGTCAATGTAGAGTGTGGAAGGGAGAGAGGTAGGATGAGCGAACGAAATAAGGAGCTGCTGCCAATAGGACACGTCGGCGGCGGTCTCAGATCCTGCGACATACTCGGCCTCTCCTGTAGACTTGGTGACGCAGCGCTGCCGTTTGCTCTTCCAGTCGACGAGGGAGTCGCCGAGCATGATAACGGAGCCTGTGGTGGATTGGCGCGATCCGGACTTGTCGCAGGCATAGGACGAGTCGCTGAACGCCCGGAGGTGAGAGATGGAGCCGGTGCCGCCGAGGAGGTAACCCCAGTTGACCGTGTGGTGGAGGAAGGACAGGCAGTGGAGAGCCAAGGTCATGTGGTGCTCCGTCGGCTTGCTGCCGTAGCGGCCAAGCCAGGCTGCCGTGTAGGCGATGTCCGGTCGGCTAATGACAGCGACCCATTGAAGGCTACCGACGATCGCCTTGTATTCGGTCTGGCGAGTAGGATCGGTGATGACTGCGCTGGGCTTGTGCGGGTCGACCGAGGGCGGCATGGGCGTGTGCTTGCCGACGGTCTTGTCGAAGTGGGGGAAGCGAGCCAACACCTCTTTCACGTATGGTGCCTGTGTGATGAAAAGAGTGCGAGTGAGGCGATTGCGCTGGATAGTCATGCCCAAGAGGTGGTCGACCGGGCCTAGTTTGACAATCGCGAACTTCTCGTTCAGCTTGTCCCAGAATTGGTCGAGCAGGGCATGCGTCTTGCCTGCGCCCAGCATGTCGTCGACGTAAAGGGCGACTCGCAGCTGTGTAGGAGTGCCGACATCACGCTGAAACAGGCAGTCCGACTGGGGAATTGGCGAGAACTGGAGGGAGACGAGCGCCTTGGTGGCCATTTCCTGCCACAAGTTGCCGCTCTGGGGAAGACCGTAGAGACCCTTCACGACCTGGAGGCAGTCGGCGTTGGGGTCAAGGGGCTTGTACCCGGCCGGGAAGCGCATGTATACGGGTTGGTCGAGATCGGGGTTGAGGAAGGCAGCGACGGCGTCGGCATGTTCGAGTTCCATGTCGTGGTGGGCTGCGAATGCCATCATGCCCCGGAGCACTGAGGCGTCACATACGGAGGCGTAGCTGTCCGTGTAGTCGCGGCCCTGTACTTGACGAGATCCCATGGCGCAGATGCGCATCTTGCGCCCGATAACGTTGCCATCCTTGTCCTTCTTTTCCTTGCAGACCGTCACGGAGGGAATGAGGCGTGCTCCTGGCGGGGTGACGCATTCCCTCCAAGTGCCCCTTTCGCGCAGCTGAGAGATCTCCTTGTCGTACGCCTCTTGCCAGAGTGGCGCCTCAGGAGTCCTCATGGCCTGCTTGTAGTTACGGGGAGCACCAGGGGTGGGGAGTTGCGAGGCGATATAGAGCCCGATGGAAGCAAGGGCAAAGTGGTTGTCGGGATTGGTGTCGGAGGGCTTGACCTCTGGCACGAAATCGAGTGGATGGTCGCCGCAGTTGTGGTCGTCGTGGGTGACTGGCCTGGGCTGGAAGTGCATAGCCTGCGCCTGGTCGGGCTTATGGGGAAGACTGACTGGGGCGGCCCCCCCCGGGTGAGTGCGCCATCCAGTGCGATGGGCCCCCCCGGCGTGGTTGACTCGGTCGACCCCCCCGACGCAGTGGAGGTCTGTTGTTGTTGCTCCATGTGCTTGCGCAGCAGAGAAGGTATGATGGGTGCCACAGGTTCCAGCGCAATGGGATCCTCGCCCGGCTTGCGTACCACCGGGGTACCTCGCGGGTGCGTGGACGGCGAAGGGGCCAGAGGGCGCTGTAATAAATCAAGCTCGTCACGCCTAACGGCTACGAGCAAGGACACCGACCACGTGCGAGGGTCACGTCACGTGACCCTTTCAGCCCCCGGACGTTAAGTCCGGTCCGGGCGATTATACGAGTGGGGTACTCACGAGGGTATTACTCGCGAGTGGATTACTCGGCTAACCGTTTCCGGAAAGAGTGGCAGGAAGACGACATTCCCCCACGAGAAACGGGGCACAACTACGCAGCCCGTAAACGGCGCCGAGAACGGCGACGCACTACTCGCAAGTACTCGATAGTGTGGAGAGGAAAAGGCCAAGTTCCGTCGGAGGACCGGCCCAGCCCCTTCCGATGTAGGAGAGAGAACAGATATATAAGGGAGCC